ATTCACTGATGTGGCTGATGTTGGCTTTGAGACAGCACTGAAAGATCTTAATTCATTTAATTTAAAAAGTATTTTTAACTGAGTTCCCTGTTCAGCTCTCCCACCTCACCTTGTTTTCCAACTCAACTTTCTCTTCACTGGGGCTTTTTTGTTGCTTCAAAAGCAAGGCTGCTCCCTCTTTGGTGTGCAGTGTCCACTTACATTTTCTCACTGACAGATTTCTTTGTACCTCCAGGACAATTTGATGTCAATAATGATGAAGCAGGATCAAATCCTTGTCCAAACAGTAACTTAGGGTACTCGTTCCAAATACTTAGAAACTATTCCTTTCAGTTCTCTCTGTCACAGCCCTTTTTTTTATGCTCTTCCTCCTATTCAAGGTGAATCTTGCATGACAGCAAAAATGCTCATCTTAGCTGTGCTGTGTGTTTGTTTGTGTAGCTGAATTTTCAGTTTTTATTGAATTTTATTTTTTATATTTTTAGCTGTAACTCAGCAATACAGGGCACGGCAGGGTCTCAGAGAGGTGTTGTATTTTCAGTTACATGAGGTGAAAAATTGGCTTTCGCTGCTTTGTCCAGAATGACTGATGGCTTTGCTAAAACTAAACCAGTGCTGTTGGTTAGTCTGGGCCAGAAGATCCCTCTCTGTAGAAGGGGGGGGGGGAAAGATTTCTGTGCTAAATTAAGGGCAGAATTCCTGCAAGGTGTCCTGCCAGAAGTTGCCAGGAGCAGAAAAGCTCACCTGGTCGGTGTTCCAGGATTTGGGGACCTTTGCTTTAATTCTGGTTGTGGTTTCCCCGAGCTTTGCAATTCATCACTTGGGATGGCTTTGGCAATCCAAGAAAAAGCAAGCAAAGCATTTTCCAATCAAAGATTAGAGATTTTGCCCATTGGTACCAACATAAGTAGCAGTTCATAGGGGATTCTTTCGGAAGGTGCCAGTCTGAGCTTTTTAGGATGCAGTTAACATCTCCGAATGGTCACTTGATCGTGGGTTTTATACTCCTAATTGTGACTTGCTTGCATTATAGCATTCTAGATTTACTTTTTATCAGTTAGAAGATTAACACAAAGGTGAATGTAATTCTCATTTTAGTTAAATGAACCGTTAAATGGCCATGACTTCCTTAAGAAGAAATACCACCATCTGCTGTAAAAGTTGATTTACATTCAAAACACCTTTCTCCTCCAAATCTGTGTCAAAACTGGATTATGTACGGGCTGCCTCTGTCCCCGCTCTTGGAGCAGCTTGCACATACCTGCTCTTAGATCAGGTTTTAATGTCTGCATTCCTTGATTTGGCAGAAATGGACACAGCTGCGTTTCATAAGCTTTAAGGATATGTTTGAGTGGTAATTATCCAGTCATCCACTGAATAGCTCAAATATCCAGGTAGCTGGGTAGGGTATCACTTGTGAACATCCTGTGCTGAGTTCACAGTGCTGGAATAATCCTAGAAATCCTGCTTGACAGACTGTATTGAAGGCATGTCATTAATCTCTCCCTGTAGTTTGTCTTTCCCCCTGTTTTGTAACAAGAATTTGATGCTTTCCTTTAATACCATTAGAGGTATATTCGTGTTTTTGCATAGTTGGTTCTTGTTCTTTGCCAGCTGTGCTCTTCAGATTAATGCTTGGGCTACATCTCAGTGTATTTCTGATGTCTTGTGGAAAGCATTGTATTCTAAATCAGTTACACAAACTCTGTAGGTATTTATTATGTCATTCCTTTCAGAGCAGATCCTTTCATCAATAATGTAGATAGATGGCTTAGAAATGGCTCCAGCAGGGCTCTCATTGATACTGCCCATTTACCTGAAATCACATTTAGATGTTGCTGGTGATTCAACTGCTGTTGTTACTGCAGAGAGCGGTAAGGTGGGTTTACCAGAATCTCAGGCCTTCAAATAAATTTGTGTCTGCCTTGAGTAATAAAGAGACAAGGCTGCCCTGTGGGCTACTGCGCATTTCTGTTATGATAACAAGAAAAAGGTTTTATGCCGTCTTTAAAATAAACAGTCCTCCTTCATGAAGACGTTTACTCTGAAGGATTTCAGTCAAAACAAACACACTTGGTTGGTCTCCAGTTTCAGACACTTTGAACAAGTCGCTGACAAATCCTCTGGATTTGCCTGATTGTTCTTAAACACCGAAACAAGGTTCACTTTGTTGGAGTTGTATCTGAATTAACTCGGATTTGCTCATTTTCTTATGTCATGTTTTATTAGGCAGATGCTGTGGGGGTCAGTTGCTGACTGATCTTGGGTGAAAAAAAGCATTTAATATTAATATTTAGGTCTTTCTCAGCCCTCTTGTTAGTTGCCTGATTGCCGAGGCCCTTCCAAAGGGAGTTAGAAATGTGGGGAAGATGTGGATGCTCCGGTAGATAATTTACTGGTTTGTGTGTTGTTCACTTGTAGAAGTTGGATGCTCTGGGCGGGACACACTCCCATGGAGGAATGCAGGGGACAGGGACACAGGCAGAAGATCCAGCTCTTCCCCAAATGCCTGTTGTAGTTTTCAGGAGTTGTACCAAACACAGGCAATTCCTGGGCCAGTAGATTTTTCCTGTTAGACCATTTCTGTAGCAACGGTGAATATTGATGTGCCATGTGCAGAAAAGAACGAATGGATTTGGAGGCTGTTCCTCAGCAGCTTTGGTTGGTACTTTCTCACCTCCTACTGTTAAAAACCTGTCCTAGGATGGTTTGACCATCTTGGTTTTGATTTGACCGTTCACAGTTTTGACTCTGGCACTTAATGCCTACAGAAGATACTTCCTCGAGTCACATGGGTATTGGAGTCTTCCTTCCATCCATGTGTGATGTGCTGGTTCACACAGAGCATTGTCTGCATCCTCAGAATCAGTTCTTGTATGTGCTTATCTGTGCTTTTAGCGTGGGAGTTGTGGGGATTGATGGTGTCAGCGTTCCTGTATCCAGCTGACAGTAACAAAACTCATGCTGTCAGTTGTCATCTCCTGTTTCAGGACTTACAAGTGTGGAGCTGTACAGAAAATTTGATATATTTTCCCCAAATCTTTTTCCCATGAAGCCCTTTTTCTGTTCTGAGAGAACACCTGCGACCTGCATGGGTGAATTTGTAGATGGTTATAATCTGTCTTCTGCTGGAATTGTTAGTGTTGCCTTGTTTAAAATAATTTTAAAAAGTAAAATTAAAACTAAGGGTATGGAAGGCAGCTCTCAGAGGCTCACAAACAGGAATATGTTGTGATATTTTTGCTGTTGCACGGTCTTAATGATTCTTCCCTATTTATGTTTTGTTGGGATTATCCACAAGCAGAGGGAAAACACGGATCTAAATACCTCTAAAAAGAGTATTTGGATCCTGAAGTCCACACTAGCAACGTTCAGTGCTCTGCTGTTACATGCTCTTCAGTATGATTTCCCTGTGCAGAATGTTGTCCACAAATGTGTTCTTCCTTTATTAATTCCACTGATGTGGTGCCTGCACATCTAGGCCTGTAATAAAAACATTTTGCAAATTGAGCTTCAGTTAATCGAGAGGACATTAATCATTTACTGCTCCTCTTGTTTGCAAACAAAACTGAGCTGCATGGCCACGTGGTGAGGTCTTGGAAAAGCCAGTTGGGGAAAGGTTATCATCTCTTAGAACTGCCTAATTAATTAAAAATGTCTGCTTCTAGTTTGTCTTATTTATTTTCTTTGCCCTCTTTTTGCTTCTCCTTCTTGAAAAGAGAAATCAGTGACTCTTATCTTTCAGAAATGTCTCAAGGTTGTGATTTCTCCTGTTTTGTGTCCTTGGGGTGGGGAAGGATCCTCCTCTGGTTCCTCACTGAGCAAACCTGGATTTCTTCTTCAGGCATTAGAAGAATTGCTGTTCAGACAGACTAAACTTCAGGTAGGCTTGAATTCTGCAGAGGAGACTGAGCAGGCTAAAGCCTTGTTATACTTTTGATGTATCTCCTGCTCTAAAATAATGTGGTTTCCTCGTGCTTACTGTTTTGGCCCGTGGGAAGTAAAACAAACCGTGTCTTATAACTTCTGAGGTTCAGTCTGTTCTGACAGCAGTTGTAAAGTAGGAGCCAGATCCAAAGGAATAAAACTTTCTCCTGTGCACTGTCCTTTCCAAAGAACCACCAAACAGAGGCTTGTTGGTGAGCTCTGAAGCAACAAGTGCTGGGGACCTGATAATTCGTAAGTAGTTTGTGAGCACAAACTTCTTCAGGTTTTGTGCAGTTATTTACTCGCTACACTTACGTTTTGTTTTGTCTTTTAACACTCCAAGTGTGCTGGAGAGACCTTTTGTTAGCAGAAAGCCAAGGACCTCAGGCTAAACTTAAATATCACGTGCACATGTTCACATTTTTGGCTTACTCCATTTGTTGCCTGCAATGATCCCTCTGTTTGCTTCCTGCCTGCGTTGTGTGAGGGCCTGGATCTGCCACTGCTTGCAGCTGTGCACCAGTGCTGGTGCTACAATCTGTTGCCTTGTGCTAGAATATCTCCCAGTGAAACCTTGGCTGTGAGGAGTAGCTGCTCCTGAGTGTGGAAGTCGGAAGGGTAAGGATCTCCTTCCTATCTGTGTGTAACTACCCCGGGAAACTTTCCATTTGGAGCTGAACCTCTTGAGTGTTGCTGCAAGTTGATCACAAACTCAGCTAATGGTTTGGTTTTTGTAATGGGGTTTGGTGAGGGAGTAGCTTGTGCCCTGGAGAAGGATACTCTGGTTTGTTGTTTTTTGTTTTTTTAATTGATCTCATCTGAGGAAGTGGGAGCTACAAGTTGTACCAGTTCTCAAGATTAAAAAGGAGAGCACTGGGTACTGGAGCACCATGGAGAAGAGATCTTGACAGCTGGAAACTAAGATATGAATGAGACAAAACCCGACCATGTATTACCTTGATGTTACCTCTCTTTCCTCTGCTACCCCCAAGTCAGGGAATGAGATGCATAAAAGCAGCCAATAAGATCTTGCTGTTCAGAACAGGAGCATGGACGTGATAGTGAAAGTGCTGTGTGTGGGTAGTGGCTTCTTAAAGAATAACAATTTTACTAAGTTGTCCAGGTAGAGCCTTTTCTAAGGTGAGAGGAGAAAATGTAAATTTAAATGAACACATTTAAATGAAGCCTCTCTTTTTCTTTCTTTTTTCATTTAAAATTTCAGTGTCAAACATAATCAAAAGCATCTTTGTTCTCTTCCTTGCTGTTCTGTGGTTTCTAATTTCATCTGTCTGGGAGCTTAACCAGCTGATGCTGCTGTGACTGTTGTGCAGCAGATGCTGAGGGAAGGAATGTATGTGTGGCACAAGTGATCTGTGTGAGGACAGAAGTGCTTTGAGTTTGCAGCAGGACTGATCACACCAGGGAGAGCAGGAGTCTGTGTTACTGGGTCAGCTGCGCCGCTGCTGCAGGAGCCATGGGACACGATTCCTGCCAGGAAGGAGTCCAGGATCAGCTCAGGCAGCTCTGGGGTTTTTGCTGTTACTGATGCTTTCTGGAAACTGTTAAGAATCCGGTTGCTGTGTTCTGATTTTGAGCGTAAATTTTCCTTTCACTCACAGTCCTGGTTTGCCCTGCTGATATTTAATGGTGGCAGGTGTATCCTCGTGCAGACCTCAGTGTGGTGGCACAAGCAAGCTTGAGCTCTCCTGGTTTGCACCTCTGCAGTGGTGCCTCCAGAGAGCCTGCAAGCCCTGCTGTGCACACACTGCACTGAGAAATGTTTTAGCAGCCAGGTGACCAGAACTGCAGAGCGCAGCATCAGTGTCTCCCTGGGAATGTTTTGCAGGTAGTGTTGGCCCATAACTCCTGCAAACATCTCTTGTGGCTCTTTGTGCTTACAGCATTGGCGGCATCGTTTCCAGCTGAAACTCAGAACTTTTACAGGGATCAGCTCCAAGAGTCCTTTAACGATCGACTTCAGTTTTTTATTCTTCTGTCCATCAGATAGTTTTATCTGTCCTCTATTCTATTGCTTTCCCGTACTGCCGAATGTTTTATTGCTCTAATATTTGCACTGGTGTTGCATATTTAATAACTGTAGGTAATCTCTTCCTTCTCTAATATTAAGCTCCCCTATCTGTTTTTGTCATGCCTCTGCCCGATGTGTGCCTTACACTGGTGCCCTTTATCTCAGTCTTTACTCATGGCAATTTACCCAACGCTTTGCCAAGATTCCTGTGTCTGCACATTTTGTGGTGTGTGTGATTCCAGGGCTGGGATTTTATTATTTTCAGTGATAAATTTCCTGCAGGAGGATGGGGTTATAATTAGTTGCTTGGGCTTTTATTTCCTCTCTTTTGTGGTAGTTTCTATTTTTATCATTTTTGCTGTCTTATATTACCTCTTAATATTACTCTGCTTGCTGAAAACTGAATTAAGGCATGGCTTTAGGTGAGTTTCATTTTTCTTCTTCGTCCCTGTGTACATACTGCTTTTATTCTTACAGTGAGTAACCTGGTTGGGTTTCTTTTGTGGTGACCTGGGTGTAAAACTGAAGGATACATTTTGGAAGGTGTAGTTTGGTTTTACTTGGCAGAATCTGTTTTCGTAGTTGGATGAACATTCTGTCCTGTGGCCTATTCGTTGGTGATTTTCTTGTTCATTGTGGAGCTTTTGTTTGTTGGTTGTATTTTGTTTTGGAATGGAGTGTATGGTTTGTGGGTTTTTGTAAATATTTTTGATTTCTTGACTTTATTTGTTTGTTTTCCTTGTGTTGTTGTTGTTGTTTAGCAGTTGTCTCAGCTTTTGCCTTACTGCCTCTGACAGTAAGTTTTCTTTTAGTCTTTAGAAGTTTCCACCAGATCAGGAGCTCGGGTTCATTGTGTCTGGAACTGATTTTTTTGGTCCTTGTTGTTCTTTGGTCCCCAAAGCCTTCGGTAGTGGCTCTGCACGTTTGTCCATCAGGATCCATGCAAGGCACTTCTGTTTTCCTAATGGGGATCTGTGATCAAAACAAGTGACACTTTGTACTGACATTATGAATAAGAACAGAGGATATTGGTCATCATGACTCTTCAAAACTGCTCTGTGGCTGTTTCCTCAAAGCTTTTGCACTGCTCTCACGGGAAGTTTTACATGTAACTTTAGAGTTGTCTTTTAAAATGCTGTTTGTATTTCTGTGTATTTTTGGGACAGTGTTTGACCCAAGCTGAGCCAAGAGCAGCTGCTGTGGAAGGCAGTGTAGGTGTTCTGTTAGACACCTGGGAGAGCCCAACACTCCCTGGCCAGGTTCTTTTAGACATTCACACATGGAGGGGGTGTCATGTTTGATGTCAAATTAACAACCTGAATACAGTTGCTCTTACAGAGGATTTCTGATTTAGCAATGTGATACACAATATACTGAGATCGAAGTATAACTACAAGTTCAGTTTAGCAAAATACAATAATTGCAATAAAGCAGTGGGAACACAATAGCAGTGTGATGCCGCTGGTGTCCCCAGCCACCAGGAGGAATATGTGTGTTGAAGGCAGCTCAGGCTCTCTGAAATCCCTTTGTTATTTAGTTCTGTACTCTGGGCAGAGCCGTGTGTGTTCACTCCCTCACGCTGCTCTGGATAACCCTGGGACACAGTCACTTTTTTAATGAACTCAGGGAGAAGCACTTACACCACTGGTTGATTCACTCAGCTGTGATCCAGTCAGTTGATCGCTCCTCTGACAGAGCTGTTTGTCTAAAACAAAGGACACCCTCTGGTTCCCTTTGTGCTGAGAGGAGTCAGCTGTGCTCACTCACCCCCTGTGGCACTGCCCTTGTGAGCTGCCCCTTTGGGACATCTATAGGTCAGTCGTAGGAAGGGAATGGCCATCAAATACAGCCCTAGGTGAATCTGCAGAACAACTCACCGAAGGCAGCAGCCCCTGCTTCGTTGTGCTGGCTCTGGCTGGGCTAGAGTTGATTTTCTCTGTAGTGTTCAGCGTGGGGCTGTGTTTTGGGTGTGTGCTGAGGGCAGTGCTGATACCATGGGGATGTTTTGGTTGCTTACACAGAGTCAAAGCCTTTTCTGCTCCTCACCCCAGCAGTAAATAGGCCGGGGGTGCACAGCAGATTGGGCCAAGGGGACGTGGCTGGGACAGCTGACCCCAACAGGGATATTCCAGGCCGCAGATATAACGAGGAAGAGGGTGGAAAGGGGGGGCGTTCAGAGTGATGGTGTTTGTTTTCCCAAGTCATTGTTGCACAGGATGGAGCCCAGCTTTCCTGGAGATGGCTGAATACCTGCCTGCCCTGCTGAACTGTCTCATCTCAGCTCATGGGTTTTGTCACTTTTACTCTGCTGATTCTCTCCCCATCCCACTGTGGGGAGTGGCTGCGTGGGGCTGAGATGCTGGCTGGGGTTAAACCACAACAACAGTCTAGATATTTTCATTCTTTGGGTGTGAGGAATCTTTTGTATCAGTATTTTCAGTTTGCTTTTCGCTGGACAGTAGGCATGGCACGAAGAGGTAACAAAATACCACATAGCGTGTCCAGGCTTCAGGTTGGCATAAATGCATGTTTTAAGTATTTTGTGCATCACATAAAACCCTTTCAATGCCATTTCTGAGCCTAGAGGCATTTATTAAGTTGGAGAGGAGAAACAGACTGAAAGTTCAAATTACTCAGTGTAATTCAGTTCTGGTAATTGGATATACAGGGTACACAGTGAAAACTCTCTGACTCACTATCACAGTCATTCCACACACCCAGCTGTGCTATCTGCACTGCTCTGCTCTTGATCACTTTCTGATACTGCTGTTTCCCTCTTATTTTGGTGTTGAGCAGGAGAGCAGCATAGGAAGCAAATGATTTAATTATTCCAGTGTGAGGATATTTTTCAATAACTGTCTTCAGTGATGCACTGGCCAAAACCATTGCTGTGACTTGTCATTGTTATGGGAGTGGTAAAACTGCACTAAACACGACAACGCTTCAAATGCTGCAAATCCTGGAACTTTAAATTTGATAAATGTTAGTTCATGGCAGTTCAGTACTAATGCAGCTGCTTACTGTGGAGATACAAAGTGGGGGAAGAGTATAAATGTGTTCAGCCATACTCTTGTAATGCAGCAACGGGCACAGAATTGTGTGGACAGCTTTGTTAGGGCACAGCCTGAGGGCAGATGTTTTATTTTGTAATTTCAGTTTCCTTTGCATGCAGGTTTGGTGTCTGTTTTTTTGTTTTTGTTTTTTTTCCTTAAGTGATTTTCTACTTACTAAAAAAAAAAAAAAAAAAGGAAAAAGAAAAAAATCCAGTGTTTCCTTGCCTTGTAGAAGTCTCTCCTTTGCGTGGTGGGCAGTATCAACCCTCCTTGACTTAAGGGACAGAATTCTCTCAATTCCCATCACAGTAGCCAGGTATAAAGGGAAAACCTGGATCAACGTGCAGCACTGCTGTGCCCTCCAGGTAAATCCTCTAAGGTGGAAATCTGTCAGGAAGTACGTGGAGGAAGTTACTGTGAGAGCCTGTGGGTGATGGTGAGACTCATAATTTAGGAAACTGGCCTTTAACACTTGCTTAATTGAGGAATTAGTTTGCTCTGGTTTAGCTGAGGCTGCTCTGCCGACTCCACAGGCTTCTCTGATATGCATAATTTATTCTAAAGAGTACCATCCCAATACTTCCACAGAAAAACCACCCCAGACTTCAGGTTTTGCCTTTTCTTGCACAGAAACACTTTCCCAATTCTCTCCCCCTTGCTGTCTTCCATTAATATGGGGAAGGGGAACAGCTGAAGCCTGTGTGAGCCAAGGGTCCAATATATAACATTTAGATCTTGTATTATGGGCCACATATTACGAGGGAGTTGTGCAAACTGTCAGTTTTCCTTAAAAACAGGTAAAAAAAGCCCCACAAATATTGGAAGGGTAATTTTTTTAGCAGAGGAGATTACCTTGGGACAGCTTTACCATTTTGAACGTGCAGGGGGGGGCCTGCAACTGGCTCTGAAGATGTGGTGCCTCTGTCCTCTGCTGTCACTACGGACATGAAAGTTGTGACACATCACTTAGTTTTATTTCCATGCTTTTCTGGCCAGCAAATGGAAAGGCTGGAGGGGAGAGGCACTGGGGAACTGGGCATGTGGCAACATTCCCCACAAGATAATCTGAAGGGTAGCTGAGGTGGGGAAGGACAGCACAGCAGTGACAGCCACAAGGCAGAGATGAGGTGTATTTTTCCCTTTGTATGTTCTGTTAATATAACACCAGTTTAAGTGTTAATATAACACCAGTTTAAGTGCAGTTAATTGCATTTTTAGTGGAGCAATCACTCTTAATTAGAGCAAATGGACTGGGAGTATAATGTTAAAGTGAAATGCAACATCCTCTGTCCTGTGAATGAGACAGTCCCGTCAGTTTTTCCAAAACAAGGAAGGGTAGAATGTGGGTGGCTGCTCTGAATTGCAGAAGTACAGCTCACATGGGACTGCTGATACTCAAAAATACAGTGGAATACCCAATTCAGTGGAAGCTGAAGCATTTGATTGAAATTTGCCCCGAGCTCTCTTCCATTGCCCTGCTTTCTGTATTGCATTCCTACTTCAAAATTATTGCTTTTGTGAGGATATTTTATTATTTAAATATTGGAATTTCTTGCCTTCCAGGCTTGTCTGTGTGACAGTCACTTTCCAGGTTATTTCATTTCATTCCTTAGAGGCCTAGAGCATGAGCTGCTGCAATACTATTTTGTCATGTGGAATTACCCAGCTCCCTGTCACTCCCCTTCTCCATTTATTTGCAGACCATGGAATACTGGAGTTAAACTACAAACCTAAAGGGAATATCATAAATAAGAGCAGCTCTGGAGACAGTCACACCTGTTACAGACATAGACCTAAGGAAGCTGATTTATAGTAGTTTTCACACTAGAGGGCACTAAGAGCTTATTAAATTAAAGCATAAACCAATTTTTACTCGCTGTAACACTTCAGTTTTTGGGTATTCTTACTGTTTTTGTAGTGGGTGCCAAAGCTTTCCATTTCTTTGCAACATTTTCTCTGTAGAAATCAAAAGTAATAGTATTCTTGAAAGGATGCATTAAAAGTCAGTATGTGGGGTTTTCCTTGGTGTGTTTTTCTGTTTGTTTTGGGTGTTTTTACCAAACAATAATTTGGGTAATTTGTGGAGAAAAGTATAAATTCCACTTGCACTCTTTAATTGCTTTTGATATGGTAATTTTTCACTTGAAGCTGGTAAAGAGACATATAAGGTAGGAAATGATTGGATAGCACCTTATCAAAGTTATCTGATAGAGTTAACGTCTGGAATAAACTTTTTAAAGTTGGTAATAAAAGGAAAAAGCTGCGAACTGATGTCGCAGACCTAACCTTAAGTTAGAGCTGCTGCATACATTTACATATTGATTCCTGGTATATAGAGAATAATAGGGAAAAGAATATGATAAGTTGATACTGCCAGTAAGGGATGGATCTCAATGGAACCTTCAGTTGTTTGTGTTGTTTTTAAAATAGGTAATTTTAAAATACGTGTGAGAGTTTAAAGTCTGCACCTCGAAGCGGTGTAGCCGTTTTTGGAAGCCCTTTAATTTTGTTAAGGGTTCTAGATAACTGACTCTTGGTTGAAACACGGGAGCAAGCGGTTTCTGGTGACTTTCTGCTCCTTGCAGGAATGGTTATCCGGTTGCCTTGGAGATGATCCTGCTGCTGTAAATGTAGGGCTGGAGACGGATGGTGTGGGCAGGATGGACCTGATGAACGGACAGCCCAGCAGTGTCAACATTGCAGCCACTGCTTCAGAGGTAAGGACTGCAAACCTCAGTTACTGGGGAATCAAGGACTCCATTTTCGCTTGAAATGCACCAAAATGTTTTCCTTTTAACAGGTTTCATCACAAACAGGTTCATGTTTTGTGTGCTGGTTTCATACACCCCCAGTTTAGATGTGGACAGTGTCAAGTTCTGATCTTTGCATGCCAAAATGGAGCACGAGCTGACATTTACAGCCTTGCCATAGCCAAACTGCCTTTTTTTGTGTGTCCTCTTTTATCACATCTGGACAAGAAAAGCTTTTCTTTTCAAGTTTCAACAAGAACAGATGCTCTTAGGGCAATTAGCTGGGCTGGCAAGGCCTGTGAAATTTGTGTGTGTGTGTGTTGAGGGTGACAGTCTGGCACAGCAGCAGTGGAATAAAGTTGTTCCCTTTGTCTATTGGACCATATTCTGGTATAGACATGGGGCCCTCCTGTCCACCAAGGCTTCTGCCCTGGAGAAATGAACAGCTTGAGAGTGTGTTTGTCATCCCAGCAGTGGAGATTGGCCTCGTCTGCTGGTGCCTCTTATTTTGAAGTTAATATAGTTTTGCACTTGTTGAAGAAAAGAAGGCTTGGGCTGAAGTTAGAACGCTGCAAAGTCAACAGTCCTGACTGTAGCTGCTTCCTTCGCTGGACCTTACCAAAGGAGTTTGGCTTGTTTATATATTTACACACAAACTTGGTTAGCAGGTGTGTGTGCTACACACTTGCACGTGTGGAAAGCACCACAAGCAAGGTGAAAGGAAAACTGGAGTTTTCTGTTATCAAAAGGGTTCAAATAATCTCCAGCATAATTTCACAAGTATTGTCAATATCTAAACAAGACAGTTGGCATCAGTCTCCAAGACCACTGATTGTTTTTATACAAATTTTTGTACTTCCCTTATTATTGTTTTATGAATCATTGACTGTTTTTTGGCAAACACCTGAAAAATGTTCTTGGAGGAAAAACTACCTTTTTACTCAGCAAAATTGTCTTGAATGTTCATGTGATGTCTGATAAAATTGACTAAAATACATTTTTGCAAAATTAGATGACTTTGCTTTCAGCAAGGAATATATTTTTTTTCTCCTATCTTGACTAACCAGGAGGAGAGAGGACTTGTAACTGAAATGTGTCTGTAAGTACGTTGATTACTGAAAATGCCTGCCTGGTTTGGAGTTTCTGGTGGTGTTTTCAAAAGCAGATTTTTCAGAGGGATAGTACTGTCAGAATCTGATTAAAAGTGGACAAGATAATTGTTTGCTTTATATGTCCTTAGAACAGAAGTGCTTAAAAACAGACAGGAGTTTATTTCAAGGACCCATATCCATGGTCTTGAGAACTTTAGCAGTCTGTGTCAGGAGAAAGTGTGTCCTGGGGCTGACTTTTAATTGGTAACTTCCCCAGCAGAACAACAACTCTGTGAACTGTGTTGTTTGAACAGAAGTGTTGCTTTTGGGGGTGTAAAAAAGAAAAGGCGAGAAGAAGAGGAGGGGACCAAAATATCCTCGGTGTTTTTTGTTTGTTTCTGCAGAAGAGTAGCAGCTCTGAGTCCTTGAGTGACAAAGGGTCAGCTGAGCTGAAGAAGAGCTTTGATGCCGTGGTGTTTGATGTTCTGAAGGTCACTCCGGAGGAATATGCGGTGAGCAATCCCAGGCATTTTTATTGCTTTCTGTGTGAATCTTCCTGGCAGCTTTTCCTCTGCTTCTCCATTTCTGTGTACTTTTTTGCTTGCCTTCTGTGGGTTTTAAAAACAGATCCTGTGCTTTAGTTCTTCATTGTCTGTATTTTGTTTACTGGTAAGTAATCTCCTCGGGCTCTGCTGCCCAGCTATTTTTTCCCACTTTTACACAGAGCGTAGACCAAAGATTCCTAAATCTACGTGATGCATCTTTATTCTGACGTGCAGAGTTGAGTTGCAAGACTATATTTGATCTGTGCTGGTTTTTTTTTTCTGGAAGTGTTTTAATTTTTAATTTTGTTAATTCTTACTGTAGGAAATGCTTGCTTTTTTTTTTAATTTTGAATGTACAGAGAAAGGAGATGTTTAACCAAAATGTTGAGTGACTTCTTTATTTTTTACCCTACTTGTAGGGATTAGGACTACTGATGGTCCCTCTAGGTGATTCAGGAATGTTACTAGAAAGATTGCTAACAACCTATTGCTCTTACTGTATTTACAATTCAAGTGATGAGATCCACGAGGATTTGTCCTGGGGAGATCATCCCTACGTGGTAATTACAGGTCACAAAATACTCCCATTAATTAAGTTTGTTCCGGTATGTAATCATTAATAACTATTTCTGTTAATTAGTAATGGCTAAATTGATTTTAATGAGCACACTGAAAATTCAAAGCAGCTGGATTATGAAGTAAAGTTCTTCATATCAGGTTTCATTTACTGTAAATGGATATGAAATATCTTACAGGTAGAATTCTGAGCAGTTGAGCAAAACCATCATTCAGCCCTTTGGCAAGGAAATAATTATTTTCATTTCTTTTTCAGTGTTTCATTACACAGATGCACCTCTTTGTTAATGTTTGTTTCCCCAGGCAGGTTTATCTGTTTTTCCAGTAGCACTTGCTTTGGGTGCTGCCTTTTTCTGATCATTCTTGCTGAGGGTTGTAGAAGTAAGTAAATTTACCAAAAACTTGGAGGTACCTTGGAGGAAAAATACCTTTGACCCTTCCACTTGTGTTTATTTTATTGGCCATTTCCTCATTCTTCCTGGGTTTAGTCCTGCCATAACAGAGAAGTGTAAAATCTGGATTTCATTGTTAAATGGGAGGACACCAGCATGGATTGGACATGGTTCCAGTTGCTTTTTCAAAGTGTGGGAAAGCTTTTAGTTTACTGATAGCTCTTGTAAAATGGATGCAGTGCAGACTACACACACCAGTCACCAGGGAAGGCTGAATGAAAACTGTTTAAAAAAACATAATTCATTTTAAAGTGGGACGCTGATTAAATGATTTGGGGGCTGGCCAAGTACCTTGCTCATTGAGAGGAAAGATAATGTGATAAAGCCAGTAAAACAGCAAGGGAAGCAGGTTGCTGCACAGGAGCTGGTTAGACAGCTGTCTGATGAACGGCCAGGAAACCTTGGCTGCAAGGGAAAAGAATTCCAAGGCACGGGCAGCATAAAGGTGAGAGTTTAACAAGTCAACATGAGCATTTGTGAAGTCTCATCCTGTGCCTTTATGATAATGTTGCTTTTTGATCAGGTCTCTGTGTACAGATGGGACAAACACAGTTATCCTGGCAGAAAAAGAGCAGCAATCTGAAAGGTGATTGTTTGAGATACACTGGAAATAAGACCCATGCTGGTGGTTTCGGTACCAATGAGACACACAGATATCCTTTCAGTTCCCACTCTCTTAGAGACATCATTGTTATTTCAAAACTCCATCTGTTTAGTCAGTTAGTGGGTAAGAGGCAAGTTGGACAACAACAGCTATCACTTGTAATCCTGTATTTTCAAGAAGCTGCTTCCCCAGCCAAACAGAAACCCGAGTGCAGATTTTTTTGGTGATTTTCTTTCCATATTCTCCCCTTTGGCAGTCATCTAACACTACCCTGAATGTCAGTTATCCTGGTGTGCCTTTCCATGTAATGGTCCTTTATCTCACACTAACTTTGAAGCAAAAATCTGCCAACCCTTCAAGGGCTCCAGTTTGAACTGTAATGGAAATTCTTGTTGTAATTTGGGTGTAACCGTCAGTTATACTGTCGTTACCAACTGGGTGGTTTAAACTCTTTGTGAGGTTGAAGGCTGCTTTAGGAAGGGCCAAGTTACAGCTGAAATGGGTGAGATCTTCAGGAAAAGCTGCTGCTGTTTTCAGATTTACAGTTTGCCTCATCACTTTGCAGCTTACACTCCCCCCTTTGGGCACGTGTTGAATACCTGCACGTTGCGTAGATTTTGGGGAAATTCAGTGAATATATGAACTAGGACACGTTTGGTTTTTTTTTTTTTTACCAAGGATTCTGCAGACATCTTTGTAGGTGAAATTGAGACCATCTCTGATTTAAATACCTGCTTTGAGGCTGGTCCCTGCTCAATTCTTTATGAGTGGGCTGGAAACCACAACCAGGCTGGTGCCAGGACTGCCCAGCAGGGTCTGACCCGTTGTGTGTGTGCAGGGTCCCAGTGAATGCTCCCCATTTTCAGCCGGGGCAGGAGTGTGGTTTGGAGCGTACAGGGCACAATTTGTGGGGTGGGACATGCTAGTGGTGCAGTGGCAGTGGAAAGGGGAGGCTGAGGGGGAGAAAAAGGGAAATACTTGGGGACATGAGCTCCAAATTAAGGCTCTGGGGAACCTCAGGTTGAAGAAATATTTATTTTTTGCTTTACGGTAAATTCATATTTCTTAGGCAGCTACTGTTTAATTATCTGCCTGTTTATTACTTTTTGACTCACTTTTCCATTTTATACTTTGACCTAGCCACGGTGGGGTAAATATTTGAGGTAGAATTAAGGGAAGCACAGCTGTATAAATCCATTGCTTTTTTTCTTTCCACCGAGTTATCTAAGAAGGATTCTTTATTCTTCACCCTGGTCCCTGGAAGTGCTGTGGAGTAAGGTCATGCTGAGATGTGTGTGCGTTTCTTTCTTTTTGGTTCCAGTTGAGCTTTGTCAAATGGTTGTTGGAAGAAGATCCTGCTTATTTTGGAAACAATACACAAATAGAGTTTATTTAAAAACCGTCCGGTCGAAACAAGGAGTTTTTCTCAGAGATGTTCTTCTGACAGTCAGATATCAAGTTACCTATATCCTGTTAGCTTTACTTTACAGAAGAATATTAAACGTGTTCCCAACCAGAGCAAGAAGAAGCAACTTAATTATGGCATGTGGAGGAGCTATTAATGATAAAAGTTTTGAAGGGGATGCTGTGAGAAAACAAGGAGAGTTTCAACACAGGAACTCGAATCCCCTGGTGTTCCTTCAGGACAGCAGAATTATTCTCCTACTGATGCCGTGCTTTAACAGAGGCTTAGCTATTTTTTCAGTGAGGGGAAAAGTGTCCTGGCAACTCAGAGAGACAGTGCTAAGCCAAGTTGGAAGGCTTAAATGTAATTCCTTCTAAAAATTCAGATTAAGGAACAATTTATGAAGTGCTGCTTCAACCAACATGGCTCCAAGGAAAATCAGGTGATGGCAGTATTCTTCAATAACCAAAATGCAGACATTTGATTTTTTTTTTTTTTTCAAATTTATTTTTTTTTTTTCATCCCAAACAGAAACTTAGTTTTTCCTGTTACACTGAGGGTGTCTGTCCAGGAGCTGTGTGGGAAGTGCAGTGTCCTTAGGGTAGGGACATGGCAGGAAAACTTGCAGTGACCTGATAAAAAGAGTTCACACTTGAGAAAGTCTAGGGGCTAGAAAGGTGGGATCATAGCCCAGATCCAGTGGGAATTTTCATATAGGAGCATGGAGAGGAGTGGTCTTAAATGGAACTGGGAGTTCTTAAGTTACAGGGTTTTCTGGAAGGAGCAGAATCCAGGTGTACTCATAGAAAAGAGGAAAAAATCAGGAAACGCTTTAAAATCTCATTCTGTTGAGCTTCTCCGTGTCCCTGCAAGAAGCAGGACACAGAAAAGCAGCTCTTGACCGTCTGGATGTAAAATTTCTGACCTGACAGATCTCCCCAAGAGAGGGGTAAAAACCTCTTTATACGGAGCTGTGTGGTCATAATTTTAGTAGTTTGAAGTACTTAATTGTTAACGAGTCCAACTGCTCAACACCCCCGGGAGATAAAATATGTTTAAACTTGGCTGTTGGAGACTGTCCCCAGGAAAGGTCTCCTGTACAGGCAAAACTCCCCTGGCTGGGCAGGGGTGGGGAAACATCTGCCCAACTACTGTTCTGGTCTGTTAATTGGAAAATGATCATTCACTGTTTTTCCGAGATGGTTTTTCCCTTGTAGAGCTCTTCGAGTGGCTGAGAATTGGGAAATATATTAGTTATATATTAAAAACATGCCTCTTCTAATCATATTCCAGAGCTGTTATCTAGGATCTAGGGCAAACACAGACACAGAAATTCCACTTGGCTCCCTCTCCGCCTTGGCAATGAAGGAATACTGTAATGTATAAATGAACTTGATAGACATATCACTTCTGGAAGGACAGAAAATATCAAGTTTCCCTATCTTTGCATGATCAGAATGCTTGTTTAAAAGATAAGTAAGGACAAGTTCACAGCTTTGTATTGCACACGTAATAATTTTTGTTTTTTTTAAATCTACGCAGCTGACAATCCCAAAACCAGAGAAGTTATGGTTGGCCAGCTTCATGTAACAAGTTGATGTGAACACTTACAATTTTTGGTTTGAATATTAAAGCATTAAACCACATTTGGGAGAGGGAAGCTCTCCAGGAATTTGTATTGGCTGGGTTAAGGAGCTGGAGTGAGAAAAGTCAGTGCATTGTATCTCTCTCCCTGCAGGAACCAAACTAGTGGCTCTGTTTGTTGGGGTTTAAATTCCCCTGAGCTGGGCAAGGCAGAAGTTTTCTGTTGCTGTTAAAGCTGAGCAATGGCACATGACAGAAAAATCCCAAATAATTTTGGAAGTTTTGTCATTTCAAGTGCCAACCTTTCAGTTTGCTTTGTTTTTTACTTAGCAGTGAGAGAGCACCTTTTAAAAGGGTAAAAAATTCAGTTGTTAGACTTATAAATGTGAGCAAGCTAATGTTTCAAAGAGTCTGTTTTGTCAAAGGCATTTTTAAACTCTAATGTGAGTTACGATGTCACACATACAAAGCCAAATGGCTTTTTATCCATCAGCTTCAATAATCAGCTCTCAGTGGTTTGATTCCTTTGAATTATGAGCAATTTATTAAGCACTTGGAACTCCTAATGGAAATCTCAAGCTCTTTAAGAAAGGCACCTCAATAAGGGATGTTTCTTGAACAAGCGCTGATGTGATGCAGTTACTGAAGGTTTTAGTGAAAGCAGAAACATGTCAACCAAACCAGCAAAATGAAAAAAAAAAAAATCAGCCTGAAATCAACGTGATACTGAAAGAAATAAGTTCCTCTGTTAAAACTTACTGAGCATTTTGAGTTCTCAGACTTCTAAAAAATATTTTAATGTACATAACAGCACTTTCAAATATCTTCAGTTATGACTGTAAATCCTGACCCTTGACATCTGTTTTTTCAGTGTCAAGATGCCCTTTTTAATATCCCCATCTGAAACATGTACCTTTATTTTTGATCTAGAAATTTTACTGTGAAGTTCTAATAAAACTTTCATAAACATTTGGCATTGAGCCTGTCTAAAGTAATAATTGGTTTGGGAGTTGCTACTGAAGCAAGCAGTCAGATTTAGCTGAGGCAGTTCAGGCTGATGAAGGGGACAGATGCTGGAGGGCTGAGAAGAGAGACGTTTATTTTTAAGCATTTTCTCAGCTCTGTGAACAGTGAATCAGTTTCCTGGCTCGTTTCTATTGTGCTGTTATTGTAATCTTGTTTCAGTGAGGAGGATTTGCAGTGAAATATTAATAACCATTGAAATGCCCGTGTCTTTTGAAAGGATCTTTTAATACACCCTAGATTGGAATTTTATTGAAGTGCCCATTCTTCTCATTCCGCCTTCCCAACCCCAACCGATTTTCCTATTGATTTCCTCTGGTGAATAGCAGTGTTGAATCCCATCAGCCACGTTCACTGACAGGAATACATTGCTGAGACAGCTCGATATTTTTAAGCAGGCAAGTGGGAGACAGGGCACTGAGTTTCGTGGCTGTTTCAGGTGTTGGGTTCTTCACTGTGGAAATCAAAAGGAAGAGTCAGCTCTTCCCACAGCGTGGCTTGCCAGCCACTCTCCCCCTACCCAACCTGTCGTGCTGATTGTTGTGATCCCAGGGCAGGGCCCAGCACGACTGACCACCAGTCCCTGCAAGGTTGACTTTCTCTGAGGAGCTGTTCCACCATGCACAGTGTCACTCAGGGGCAGTGGCAATTTGTGAGAGCCACAAACCTGTCAGTGTGTACCTTGGAGTGTATAAATGGGGAGCTGCTGTTTTCAAGGCAATGGGAATAAAGCTGTGCAGCTGACAGCTGAGGGAACACAACAAGGTCCCTGGATTCATCATTAAAAGGATATTTGTGATATCTAACTTGGATGGCACTGGTATTTCTGGGCTACCTGTGTACTCTTGAAAAGAAATGGCCTTTTCTGACAACCTGTAGAGTCAAAATCCTGTACAATCCTAAATTGTACAGGATTGAATAAGCTTGAAATAAGACTCTGTGAATATGTTTCAAAATGCAAAACCTGGTCTTTGACTTGATGCTTTTCAAAGCTAACCAGACATCCCAGAATGAAAATGTGCTCCCTGGCTCTGAGCTGCTGGAAGAGACATGGCTGTGTTTAATTTTAGTTGTTGCTGAGCAACTGAACATTGACTTTGCTTAGTTAATCAGATGTGGTTCAGGTATCGATTGGAAAATGTTAGGGATGTTCTGATAGAATCGTGTGGCACCTGCACTAACGTGCAGAGTTTGAAGAGGAGCTGCCCCTGAGCGGCTGAAGTCGGTTCCTCGTCCTCTGGGGCAGCCTCTTCTACACTGAGTTCAGGCTCTGCCTTGCATCTGTAACTGCAGGGTTATCCCTGAGGAGAATTTCTCATCATTTGTTTATTATCTGTGTGTGCAAAGTTGGGAGCACTTCACTCCCTGGTTTTGCAGGATGGCCCTGAGGCAGGAGGCGAAACCTCTGAAATCAGCAACCAGACAAGAGCCAAATGAGAAAAGGAAACAGAACAAATGCAATTCTTAATCAGCACAGCACCTTAGTGGAATGCAAGGTTTATTTTGATCTCAACTTATGACTTTTAAAATTTTTGTTCCAGGGTCAAATAACGCTAATGGATGTGCCTGTATTTAAAGCAATTCAGCCAGAGGTAAGTATTTCATTGGCCCTGTTTTTAAATGTAAATGAAAAAAAGTTATGGCAGACTACAAATTCTGGAATTGCAAAGTGTGTGTCTATAAATCCTAATTTTTTTGTCCCAGCTAATGTAGCTCTGAGGCAGATGGTTTCTAATACAAGAATATCTGGAACTAATAGTTTTTCTGGGGAATAAGATTGGTATTTAAATATTCAGTTAGTGCTGGAGATGAAGTATCTGGGGTTCAGTGTTTCTGAATGAAAAACATCCTGATTTGACTCTTCTGATCATAATGTTTTGGGTTTCACCTGCTGATACCTGTTTGATACTTCATCCTGTCCCGTGTTCCTGTGACTGGTTCATATCCTATTTGGATAAACAAAAATGATTGTAATGGCATCTTAACATTCAAGATGTTGGTGATTTGTGGGTCTGTCAGGGTAATATATCAGTGATTTGTGTTCTCTGGCTTATTTGTGTGTAATTCCTTTCAGATTTCAGCTGAACTTGAACTGATATTTTCAGTATCTTCACAGTGACTGTAATAAATGTTTAATTTTTTCCCTATTTCTGTACCATTAGCATTTTCCTGTGGGCATTGCTTTGCGCTTCTGAGGGTTTATCTTTCAGTTTATTGTCCATTTTACCAGCACTGTAGAAATCTTTCTCAGCTCCTCAGCCACCTTCACTGGTAGAAGGCTTTGTCATGACACTCTTGTGACACACTGAACACTATTTTGCTTCCAGTGGAGAAACCGCCTCCATCTCTTGGTTGGGATTATTGATTTCATCATTTATGCACCTCCAGATTTTTTTTTTTGAAAGCTGCTGTTTGATCTGTGCTTGAAAACGCTGTCATGATTCAGCTTTTATATGATTTCAGCAAGCTATTTCCCAGCCCTTGTGGGATTTGTGTGGGATTTTTGGGTGGTCTAATCTTTCAAAGAGCTTCCCATTTGATCTGATTTGAACCCACATCACAGCAGTGCATAACATTGGAAAAAGTGGTACACAAACACACAGATGAGGAAAATGTTTAGAAGAGTCAGATAAAATGGAAAAATGCTTTTAAGTTCTGGAAAAGAGCTTGGAAAAAAAAAAAAAAGAGCCCCTATTAGAAGATCGGGAGAAACATATTCTGCCAATTGAAAGCACTCTAAGGATATGCAGAAAAAACTGCTGGAGCGTAGGTGAATATATCCAGAAAGTCATTATTTATCAGAAATCTGTAGGTATTGCATGAGAAAAAACTGATGTGATGTCTTCACTGGGAAACATCCATGAGGAAGGGTGGCTGTTTTGACTCTTCTCCAGTGTTGACACAGCAGCAGTCGAAGGCTCTGGCAGGGTGCAGGTGGCACTGTCCATCAGTGCTCCCCCACGGCCACTCAGAGGTCTGTTGTCTGATGTGTCTGTAAATTGTATTAATCCCCTAAGGAAAGGGGCCATGCAGATCAGCTCTCAGGTCTGAAGAAGCTGGACACGATGAAATTGCTTTTCTCCTGCTGTGCAGAAGGGAAAATCAGCCACGGAAAGACTTCCTTTGCCTAAAGGTGTCTTGGACAGCAGGTTAATGGACTGTTGGGGGTTTCTGAGTTTCCTTCGGGTTTCTGCCTGACTCTGCCATACCCAACCTGTAAATCTTTACCCATCCCTTGACATGTGCACTCAAGCGTACTGGAATTTGAAATTAGAAAACAAAACAGGATCTGCTGACGCTGATACCAGATTTCAGAGCTCTCATCTTGCATGCCCAGTGGGAGACGAGGAGCAACATTTTTCTCGCTGTGGTGAGATTTAAGAACGGGGTGTTTTACGACAAATTGTTCTAATTCACCAGCAAATCTATGTCATACAGGCTCTGAATCTCCCTTTGCTTCCCAAACTTTGTGGGATGGTATCTGAGTGGAAATTTTGAGCCTTTAGATGTGTGTTCCTTAGTTTTCCCAGATGAGGGTTCTGTAAGATGTACTCCAAGATGCTTAATTTTAAAATTGCTAGACATGGTTTTTCACCATCTTTAGGGGGTGTGAGCATTATTTTTAAATGTCTTTTAATATTTTAAAATTCCTGTGTTACATCTGTACGAAACCATATTTTTAAAATTATTATAGGCCGCTTTTTTTTTTGTTTTAAAGGAACATCAGAACTTCATCTTGGTAACTTGACCTGTTACCACGACTTGGACATTATATAGTACCATGACCCTCTGCCTGAGCTTTAAGCAGGCTTTTATCACTCCAAGGGGTTCTGGAAACCACCTTTCTGCATCCCCAAAAATGCCTGCAACTTACCTCTGAAAAAAGAAATAAGAGGGAATGACTTTGTTTCTTTGTTAATTAATAATTAGCAGGCTGCAGTATAAGAAATGAAGGTAATAAGGAACACACCTCTCTGACCTCATAAACTTCTGTCCGTATGAAAGCAGCCAATTTGCATCTTAATTTTTAGGAAACAAACAAACAAAAAAAAAAAGATGGGAGTTTCCCCAGTCAGTCATGAGATTTGTGTCTGTTCCCTGGCACTGTCAAGGGGGGTGTTATTTTTTATTCTCTCTTTCTTGGAGTGGCTGTGGCTTTCCAGAGAGCAGTGACTGTGAAGCAAAAAGGAGTCCCAGCCTTGCTCAGTTGTGCTGCTGCTGGTTGTGTTAACATTAACCAAGGGCCAGATGTCCCCTTGCAGAACACATCAACTTGCTTTTGTTGGAAAATCTGATTAGTTATTTTACATATTTTAATACATCATCCAAAATTATTTGCCCATATGTACTTACACTCGAAATCTTCACTGGGTTATTGTCTTTAACCTCTTCATCCCCTCTGCTTCACCAGGCTAGGCAGTGAAAAAAAACCCCTCACTTATTGAATATTCTTAATCTCTGATAATTCTGAAGTGGTAGAATGGTTCTACTATTAATCCTTGCTTTTTCTCACCTCTTTTTGAAACTTTCACTTTGACCCCTATAAAGCTTTTAGTGGGAAACACAATCTCTCTTTCTGCCATGTAATACAGGTCATAATTTAAGTGTTCCCATAGTATTTTGTTAAGGAAAATAAAATTTTCTCTGTACTCAAAAAGGAATAAAAACCAAAATGAGTTACAAAGGAAGTTCAGGGTTTTATTCTTGATCCTAAATCTTTCAGGTTTTCACCTCATTTCAGATGTATCACATAAAATAAGAAATGGATGGTTGTGGGGATGTAGCTCCTGTGCCCGAGCTGACAGGCAGACTGAGGAAGTCACTGTGGTGAACACTTCAGGTTTGAAACTTGCAGTGGAAGATGTGGAATTCTCCTAGAGGAGAACCTAGAACTGTGCCTGAAATAGAGAAATGGAATGGGCAGCACAGTCTGTTTAGCAGAGAAAAGAGTGTTTTTCAAGGGCAGTGAGTTTAGACAGGCTGGTTCTTGCAAGGGGCAGGAGGGTCTTAACAAGTGTCCCCTGGAGCAGAGGGGTCAGTCAGTAATGCTGAGAAATATTTTAGTTCATAAACAGGAGAAAAGAAAGCTGTGCCTGTACAGAGGAGAGAGGTCTTGCTGGTGAGGTGGAGAAGCATTTCTTACATCTCCTTAAAGGGAGGGGAAAACACTGCTTTTGGCACTCCCAGAGCTCTGTGTCTGTCCCTGGACGTGGTGTAGGTGTTGGCTTAAGCTGTTGAAGTGACAGCACGGGCCTGAGAGCCTGCAGAGCTGTGCCCCCAGAGCCCTGGGAAAGGCTCGGGATGTGTGTCTGGCCAGTCAGGAGCAGCATCTCTTGGTTTGCAGTGTCCAGTGCCATGTGCTTTCTCTCCAGAGCCAAAGGATTCCCAAGTTTGTTGCTGCTGATGTCTGCACTGTGTGAGCCTTCAGATGGGCAGGGCCAGGGCAGTGGGGCACTGACTAACACGCCAAATGAAAACAATGGGACGTGTCTCAGGTTGAGTTAACAAGGTGTATCTTTTCAGTAGGCTTAGAAGTATCTTCAGAAGGTGGTTAAAAACAGAAGAACACGTTGCTCTCTATCTGAGATCCACGTTTAAGGCAGGATTTTCTGTGGTAACAAAAGGAATCTTCCAGTAAGAGGTGAATTACCCAAGAATTATTCAACAGAAGATGAATTGTAGAAATCCAGTCACTCGAAACAGTTCCACTTGTGGAATACCAGTTTGCCAGAGGAATCAGGAGGAGTGTAACTGGATCACTTCAGTGTATTTGTCGCTCTGGGAAGTTGTTTTGAAACTGAAGAGATTTATGGCTCTACATGGCTCTGAACACGTGTTATGCACTAAATTAAAGCAGTGGATTTTCATCCTTGTTCTCCCAGGAGCTGGCAAGCTGTGGCTGGAATAAAAAAGAGAAATACAGTTCTGCACCGAATGCTGTTGCTTTCACCAGAAGATTCAATCACGTGAGTTATTTCTTTTCCAGCGTTATTACATGTAGACATTTTAAAAAGTCGGTGGGATTAAGTGTTCTGGCACATCACCTTTATTTTGGATCACAGCTGATTACTTGAGAACTTAAAGAACTCCTTATAGCAGACACTTTATCTGCAGGATACATAGAAAGGCCAAGCCAGTTCTGAAGAAATAGCTGTGATTCTGTTTTAAATAGCAGTAATTGATGAAAAGTGCCTATTTTCTCTGTAAATGCTGGCTGTCCTTTATATAAAGACAGAATCATAATTACAGGCTAAATGCTTACCATGCAGGATTTCTGGAGCAGTAATTAGATGTAATTTCCTTCTGTGTTCGTGTCTTCTGCTTCACATAGATGCTTTTGTCCCTAGAAATAGAAGCCTGCTGTCAGTGTGGGTACCTTTTTAAGGTGATTCTAGGCAAACTTTAGAAACTCTGAACGATTTTTCTGTACAAAATTTGTTCTTTAACTCTCCGTTTGGCAGAATTTTTTCAAGGTAATTATTTTGGCAGGACTTGTTTCAAGATTTTTCGGGTAGTGTGTCTGAGATTTATGATTTTCTTAACCATTTCTCGGCATAAAATCAACCTTTAAAGGGAGAATAGAACTTTAGCTTTCTCCTCAATTAAAGCTGGAGGACTCCAGCTATGCAGTTGGCCAACCAGGTTTCAAAACTGAAATGCTTTTTAAGTAATGCTGTATTTTCTCTTTCAGGTGAAGTAATTCTATTCCTCTCATCTCTCCTCTTGTAAATGTTTAATAGTGTCTCGAACTTACAAGCTCTCTTCCAGATCTAACCTCTGTACCCAGTCTCAGACTTACAGACATCTTTGTTATTTATCTGAAACTCAGACCAAACTAACCTTTTCAGGTTGTTTTTTTTTTTTTTTTCCCTGTCAGTTCTTGGGTACTTTCTCATTTTCATGATTGCTCACATTCAGGATATGACCAAATCCTACAACTTCTCACCAAAAACACACAGAGTATGTCTTAACCTTCTGATGACTGAAATCCTTGCCCGGCCATGGGGTTTGGACCTGATTTTCCACTTGACCAAAGAGAAAATGTTACACTGTAAACTTCTTGTGACCATATCTTCTATTGAGATCTGGAGGGCTTTTGGTTGAGGATTTGGTGGGGTTTGTTTGTTAGTGTTATTTTGGTGGTGGTGGTGGTTGTCTTGCGTTTGGTTGAAATTTTCTTAATACAACTTTTTGAGTTGGTCCTGTTCGAGTGTACAGACTGGTGTAAGAACACTGATACTTGGGATATTAATTTAATTGATACAGCACTGATTCCAGCACTTGCTGGAATTCATGGCAGTTGTCTCTTCCAAGAGGTGTTAATTTTGCTGAATATTGTGGGCTGTTTTTGTGGTGAGGGCTGTGTCAGGCAGTTACCTCATCAAGGCCCCCACTTTTCAGCTGTTGTTGTTTAAGGTACTTTGGACATGCCAAAGAATTGGTAAAATGTGCTCAGTAGTCAGAAGGAAGGAGGGGAAAACATATCATGGGAATAAGGACTTCCACTTCTGGCATCAAGGAAAGCCTTGATGAACCTGATTTGTTCATAGGAGGAGTGGAGAGGGACAGGGATTGTTTCTGCTCCACTTACCTGGGGAGGTTCTAAAGCTTAGTCCTCCTAAAATAAGTAATCAGGAAAATCACTGCAACTTCTGGCCTTCTCAGGCAGGAACACATTTCATCAAACTTCTGTTAACCTTTGAAATTTCCCTGGGTTTAAATTATGCATTATGCATCTGTCTCTTCCTCCCCCCTAACTTGCCAAAAGAAAACCGTGAACAGCTCTCACTTCTCGAGTAAAGAGAATATTAAATCACTAAGAGCTTCCCCACAGCAGATTGCACTGCTGGTAGCATTTAGGAAGCAGGAATGATTCTGTGTTTGCAGTCCACTGAGGATGAAGTAGGGTATTTCCAACATGAGTTATGTGATAATTACATGTGGTGCCTGTAATAACAGATCCAGTTCAGGGAAGAGGAATCGATCGAATCGTTCCATGCCAGGACTCTCTTGTTGTCAGGGAATACATTGCTACATGGTACTCCCTAGATCTGCACATTTACTAGTGAGTGTTGTTCATAAATATGTAATTTCTTATTTTTAAACTCCACTTTCTGCCTTTCTCCGCTTCCTTCTGAAAGTGGGTTGTATACTTGCACACTGGTAAATCTGTCAGGGCACAATTGCCAAGTTTACTGACTAGGTCATTGTTCTACCTTTTGAAAATAAACATTTGTCATATGTTTCAAACAAACGTAGCTTATCTAAGGTAGCTGTTTACGTAAAGGTCACTATTGCTCCCTTGATTGTCAGATTATCTCTATTGAAAACCTCCTTCTTGAGGTTTTTTGTCAAGTGAGAATGGAACTGTGCTGCCACAGAGCTTAAAATATTAGAGAAATTAGTCAGCTAGATTCAATACACTGGACCAGTTTTAAAGCAGAAGATCCCACTTGCAAGAGGCAGATTTTGTGTTTTACTGGCTCTGGTTTTGGGGCTTTGGTTTTGAGGTTTTTGTGTCTCTTTTTAACCCAAATGCAAACATTAAGTGTAGGAGAAGTTTCTCTTGAATATTGTAGTGTTGCTGGATTTCCATGGATTTGACTGGGCTTATCAGAAATTAAGAAATGGAGTGGTGAAAAGGTTTAGTGTGCTTGGGAGATACTTTGAAGAGAAATTGAGAAACTATTAAAGAGAGGTTCTCAATTTTACCTGGTTTCTAATTAGCACAGAAAGCACAACTAGTTTTGGAAGCAACAACTACGAACTTCAAAGCACCTGTATAGCAAAACCAGTATTTCAGATAAGGCAAACATGAGATAATTAAAAAAGCTTAAGATGTGATTCGAGAACAGATATGTTCTAAAGTGAAGCCTGTTTTTCTGGGTTGACCTTAATAGGGAAGAATATAAACGTGCAATTGTATGTCAAGGGTTGAGATGTGGTTTTGAACTGCTCTCAAAGGCTGTGAGTCATCCAGCTGATGGATATTGGTGGAATAACAATGCAGTGAGAGAGGAGTTAAAGCAAAATAACCACAATGTATGGAGCAAATACATAAGATTTACATGAAGAATTAGTGAAAGGGTCTATTTAAATGATTTCTTTTTCAATACTTGGAATACATTAGATTATGGGGGTGTCTAAAGATACCAGTTAATAGACAAGACCAGCCAAAAACCAGTGTGTGTTGGTAAAAGACACATCAAATCAGAGTGAAAGTGGTTGAAATGGAAGTGATGAAGTGGGTTTAATTCTCTATCTCCTGCTTGCTCTGTCACTGAAGGGGCTGGCTGGCTCTGGGCTCCAAAGGAAGTTTTGCATTTTCTTCTGGCTTGGGTTTGTTTTTTCCTGCAGGAGCTTGGGAGTGTTGGGATAGGGGTGGCTGGAATTGGGATGGAAACCAGGCTTCCTGGGATAAACAAGGGCACTGGTGTGGCACAGTCACTGTGAACTCTCACAGAAGTCAGGACCAACAGAGTAAATTGTTTTTTTTTTCATCCTTGTGAATATGCTTGAGCATCTTCTGTGTTTTGAGCAAGTGTTTCTCAGTCTGGGCTATCAAAGCATTCTCCTGTTACATGGACACTGTTAACCTGAAATCAAAGAGATTTGAATTTTTAAGGCATGTGTTGTCTCTAACTGATTCTTTATGATACAAAAATCTATGTTAAAAGTTTAAATTCTTTTTGATCTTCAAAGGGAAAGCATGTCCTTAGAAACTTGTTGGTCAGTCAAGGGGAAAAAGTTCTTTTTCTTAAGCTGTGTAACTACAGCAGAGCATCAAACTGAGGTTAAGCGCTTTTTTTGACAGAATTTTGAAGTGCTGTCAAATATTCCATGTCTTCAGTACTTGTGTATTTTATAGGGAGCCATTTTTTATTGGTGAGGACAACACAGTTTATCTGGAGATAGTTTACTTTAAAAAAGAAAAAAAAAAAAAAAGAAATTCAAAGAAAATGAAGAAGAAAGAAAGGAAACAGAAACCTGAGCTTCATGGTGAATTCTTTCCTGGCTAACACAGCCTTGGCCAAACAGACCGAAGGAAAGTGTTTGTCATGTGGGGAGATGTTTGTGGGGATTTTTTTTGTGGGTTTTCTTGTCATTCTTTCATTTTGCAGTTCCAAAGAGCTGTTGTGTTTTAAACATCCCAGTTGTCATCAGATCACTTCGCTGCAAATGTAATCATTTTGGGGGTGTGGATCCTCTCATGCTGTTCTCTATTAAGGCTGTCACTCTGGACAAAGTGAAACAGTGAAAAGTGAAAAAGTGAAAAAAAAAACTTTTTTTTTTTTAATTGAAGTTTTGGGCAGGAACCTGAATACACACACACTGTTAGTTTACAAGAAGTTCTTTAGCATCGCTTAAAAATCAAAGCAATGTGACAGCTTGAAAGGTGTTTGGGGATGAGAAGGTACCTTTCTTCCTACACCGTTTCCAGTAGTTTTGTAAATAGCAGTCATGCTGTACCTTGATAACTCAGTTTTCTCCTAACTTGTAGTGAATACACAAATAAAAGCTGCAGTATTTGTTACCACTGGCTAATTCTTTGCTACTGCTTTATTACAGTTATGAAGGTGTTTATTTTTTATCATTCTTTGTGGGGGCAGAGGGGAAGCAGAGAAGACAAAATATTAGAATGTTCACGAAACGCTTTTAAAGTACAGGTTTTTCTGAGTCATTCCTGTAAGTATGAAATGCAGCAACCATCCTTTATACCACACTGGATACAGCAGTGATTTCACACCCCAGGGAATTTAATCCTGTCAAACTTACCCAGCAGTGTGGAACTGTGCTGTCCGCTGGCAGGTGATTGGCAGAGCCAGAAATGAGAGTACAAACTATAAACCAGGTTATAGCAAGGACTTCCTACCTTATGTTCCAGTTCTGCTCAGGATGGATGTTTTTGGAGGTGCTGGAACTGTCAGTGAACTGCAGTCGAAGCTGTTCAGCTCACCTGAGAGTTGGGTAGTGCAGCTTTGAGGTCGTGGAAAAGCAAACCCAACGAATATAACTCAGTTTTAGTGTTTCTATTCCTTCAATCTGTAGACTTCTCATTAAATGTCTTGGTAATTTTGTTTTCCTGGGAGGGCACTGTTTGAAGTTTAAAAGACTTACCATTTGGATTGTAGTCTGGGAGATCTCACCCTGGAACTCAGCCTGAAATCAAGGCTGTTTGCCCAGATTGTGCTTCTATAAAAATAAATAAAACTATTCAGTGTGTTGTGTTGAAGCTCTGTATTTTTTAAAAGGGAATTTTTTTTTACCTTCTAGGTAAGCTTCTGGGTTGTTAGAGAGATTCTGCATGCACAGACTTTGAAAATACGAGCTGAGGTTTTGAGCCACTACATTAAAACTGCAAAGGTAAGAATTTGGCTTGGGAAAGGGGCTCACCAAGATTAAAGGTTTTATACCTAAGTTGGTCAGTTCAAAAATACATATGGGGAAATATTTATCTGATACCTGATTTAGTTGAATTAAGGTAATGCAAAGATGCTTTATTTGACATGTTGCTTATTAGATACTATAATTTACCAGGTGTCATTTCCAGTGTTCGTTAAACCGAAATACTGTGTGTGGAATCAGTTCAAACAGCATCAATCAGAACAGAAACAGTTTTTATATATGAACTATTAACTATATATATACATAAAAAATAGTTTTGCCTTTACCATTGGAAGGAAAGGGTCTTTTATCTTTTATTCCACTTGTGGCATAAATAATACCAAGTTAATAAATACAGTTTCAAAAACATACTTGAATTCCAAAAAACATTTTGGAGCTGTCAATCTTGTCAATTTTGGCAAAGCAAGCTAATTTTGTAAGATTCCACGGGCTTTGCTTGGTAATGATGCTGTGGTCATAAACTCTTAATGATCTCTCTTAAGTATCCTTTGATATCTGGTGAGTTAATGAGGCTTCATCTCATGTATTTTTAAAAATCAGTTCTTGTTTGGGCTTTTTTTTTTTTTTTTCATTTGAAATCCAAACATGTACAAATTTTGCCTGGTGCTCCATGTTCCATAGGAGGGGGAGGCTCCCCTGGGTGGTCCCAGTGCAGAGCAGATGGGGGAAGCCGAGTGGGCTCAGCTTTGGTTGGCACTGGGATGGAACTGGCCAGGGCTGGGGGTTGCAGGCTCAGCTTTGGGCACAGCCCCTGAGGTGCCTGAGCTCCCTGGGGATGGCAGACAGCAGTGCCTGCTGGAGTGCTGCTGGTTTGGAGACACTTACGTGCTCTAACAAATAATTGAGCTTGGCTCTAACTGGGAGTTGTAAAAATCCCAGTAACCAAAACCGATGAACTTTTTAACTTGCTCGCTGTGTGTGTTACCTTGGCTGGGTTCACAAACAGCTGCTGACTGGAAGGTTCTGCAGTCAGTGCTGTTGGAAGGATTTCCTGCGTACCCCAGAGCTGGTATCAGAGCAGATTGGTGCCAAGGGTCACACTAATGATCTTCTCTGCAGGGAAGCTGTGAATCCACTCCACAGTGAATTCTTTGTGCTGACATCCCTTGTAGAGCTCACAGTCCTTTAATGGTATCTCATCAATATTGCTTTATGCATGAACTAATTGGACCTGATGGTTGCATTCCCCCAGCGTTCCCAGGCTATCCTGTGGGTGATGACTTCTCTTTCAATGCTGGCAGCAGCTGGGAAAACCCTTTTTTCCCTTTTTTAATCAGCTACACTGTCCTCTAGGACAATGGACTTTGCCTTGTTTGGGGTCCCTGTGTGAGTGAGAGGGGTTATTGTGTAAGTGGAGGGACAAACACCAGCAGGACTATTTAGAAGAATAGTAGGACTTATGGTACAGGACAAATATCCACTCCCTTTCCACCTTGCCCCACTAAATACTGATTGCCCTTTACATATGGTTACCAAAGAATCCTCCCAAGAGAGGATGAGGAGAGGGAAGCACTTCATCAGTAGGTGTGGGCTGACTTCCACTGTCAGTAGAATCATGGGGTGCTGAGCATAAAAGCAGCATTTCTGAGTAATGCCCATGAGTACTTTGTCCTATAGGAGCTGTAAGAAAGAATCATTTGCTCTGCTCCAAACATATTATCCAGAAAACCATCCTTGCAGTATCACTTTCATCCTCCCGAATAGAAAGTCTCCTCTGATATTCAGCATTTATTAAGTATTGTGTTAGTCCAGGTGCTTTTGTCCTGTTACCTCATGAAAGATCTCCTAAGCAGGAAAGCTTGGGTAAGCTAAGTTTCAAGCAGGAAAAAAGGACTTCCACCACTTTGTGAATAGGAAGGGTTCCTTATTTTGTCCGTCTGGAATCCTGACCTGCCTTGGTGACTGCTCCAGATGTATTCAACAGGATTTGCAGTACAGTGGTTGAGTGTCCATTTCCCTATGTCAAAGTCTCTTTGTTAGGGGTAAAACCTCAATTTGTGTGCACTCCACCAAAAATGCCTGAATGTAGTTTGGATATTTGGGTGCTCATGCCTGTCAGAACAATTGATATTGCAGAAGAGGTTCAATAACAATTTTCTTCCAGACCGTTTTTAAGCTTTTGTGCCGGTACCAGGTGGCCGAGGCAGATTGATGGTTCTGGGGACAGAGAGAAAGGAAAAAGGAAAGGGAGGAAAATTCCAAACATGTAAGAAAAAGCGCTTAACAACAGTGTTTTGTAGAGAGTTTTAAAGCAAATTCCTTTACCCTCGTGGCTTCTCTGCTCAGTTTTGATCGAGTTGTTGCTTTCTACCTGTTCGTTGTCCTACCCCAAAAATTGTCCTTCAGTGAAAGGAGCACTCCAGGTACGTGGCTTTTGGAATTTACCTGCTTGATTTCATCCTGCAACAGTATTATCTGGGTGCTTTGTTGCAGAGCCTTGGTAGCTGCATAAGCTTGAAGTACTGCCACGATGACATCATTCGCCACTGGGTTATCCTTTCTGGCATGTGAAGTTTTAAAATGCTGTCGAATGCTATGAAAGGAATTTGTTGGGCTTGAATGTCAGAAAATTTCTGGCACTTGTAATATATTACTCAAGATCTGCGTCTGTATAGGTATTTTTAAGGGTTCTCAGTGGGCTATGAAACAGGTAGTACAGTCTCATTCAAACCCATGTAGATACTGTAATGAAAAAATCAGGAGGTGCCATAAAAGTGGTCTGGACAGCACAGCAGTTCACTGTAACTCTTCATTTAAGAACTTGCCAGATTTCCTCATTTTTATATTATTTATTCTGCAGCCATTACTGACAGCACTTGGAATGTTGTTTGTTGTTGCTGTATATGTATTTTTTTTGTCCTCAGAAACTGTACGAGCTGAATAATCTCCATGCCCTCATGGCAGTGGTGTCAGGCCTACAGAGCGCTCCGATCTTCAGGCTGACCAAGACGTGGGCGGTGAGTGGAGCAGCAGCGCAGCAGAGCGGGGGGGGGTTGAGTTATTCTTAGGAAAATACAACATTCTTCATTTATCCTTAGGAAAACACAACACCCTGTTTTCAGGGATGCAGTAATTATTATGGATAGTTTTAATTTTATTCTGCTGCGTGCATAATGCTTCTGGTTCCTCTGAAGTCTATAGTTTCCTCTTGGATATATTTTTTTCCATTCAAGCATAGAAATATTTTCCTTTGAAAAATGGTTCCCTGCAGATTGTGCTAAATGCAGAGGCTTCTAATTTGGCCAGAAGCTACTTTGTATTTAGTTGCTGGAAAATTCTGAATGCCAAAGTGGGTCATACTTTAATCATTTTAGGGGTTTATGCTGTTGGAATTTTTCTTTTGCTATGGAGAGCAGATGTTCAGAAACTCTTGATTCAGTTGCCATAAGGAGATTTGTTGTTTCTCTGACCAATAACTAAATCTGGCACTTTTCCTCAGAGTTTTCAGAATTATTTTCATAGTTACGACTGCATTGGACAGTATATTTGTAGTTCTGCATTTGCACAGTTGTGAAAGAACAGTGTTGTTTGGAACCATTTTTATTTGGCATCTGTTATTTGACTGGCATTAATTTAATTTTGGTATCGTATCCTTGATAAGAAGAATATCAGGAATTACTTTTGCTCATTGAGGCCTCAGAGCTTAGAAAATAATCCTTGATTCAGCCATACATTGTGTAGTTTTCCAGCTGTTTCAGATGAGCTGTGACATGAAGTGTGCCAGAAATATTCAGGTGACTGAAATGCTCCTGTGCAAGGGATGCATATAAATAGATCATTAAAAAGAGGTGAAAGTGCTCACTGAACACGTGTCAGCACGTCCTTGGATGTTACAAAAAGTGTTTCTTTGATAACTGCATGATAATGTTGTTCAGTTGATAAATGTTACCAAAACTGAATATAATCCACTCCTGCTAGGATACTCATCTGGAATTCTGGGAACATTTTCCAAATACACAGTTAAGTAAGGCGTTGCTTGTCCATACAAAAAACCTCTCCAAGGAAATGTTAATGAAATGGTCTCGAGGAGAACTTTTGTTTCTCTGATGTTGTCACGTCAAGGAGCTGATGCCTCAACAGTTGTACATAACTGTGATGCCAAATTGACTTTTAAATCTCTTTTTATACGTGACTGTAAATAAATGTAACTGTAACCATAAATCACAAACAGCTATATTAGTTACTGCCATGGTGATGCCATTCAGAACTGGGAGTCCCCAGTTTCTTTTCTTGCCTGGTTATGCAAGTGTTAGGATTATTTGTTTGCTGTTGGCACATGTATCAGTGTTGAAACTTTCCCCCCCTTCTGACCTCTGAAATGTCAGGTAATTTCTCCCACGTTTCTGGAGGTGTTTGATTTCTCATATAACCCCAAGCACTTGCTTTTCCTCGTCTTACACAAACCTTTACAAATTCAAAGTTGCAGGAGAGCTCCCAGCACTGCAAACTTATGTGGTTGTCCTTCTCCTGGAGGTTCAGTTTATAAATTCTAGAAATCATTCTAAGCCTTTGGCTTTCTGTGCATTAAAAAGCAAGAAAAGGCACTTGAAGCTGTTCCTGGAGCCACCGAGTCATTTGAGGAAGTTGCACAGTAACTCTCCACAACCTTCCTCAAGGAAGGATTCATTCTTCATTTCTGAGATGATTTGTAGCAACCCTCAATCAACTCGACTTACAAAGTCAGGAAAAGAGCTGCAAGTGTATTCATCCCCTGCAAAATAAAAAAAAAAAAAAAAAAGGCCACCTAATATGGTTGGAATCTCGAGTAGAAAGGAGCCATTAAATATTTGCTTGGTAATCTAATGTTCCTAAAAAAGATGAAATTCATGTCTTCTGACGGTATGTCTGAATTTGCCTCAAGTTTGTCTCGCCTGTTGCCTGCACACACTTTCAACTCTGGAGAATAATAAATGCTGTTTTTAGTGTGTGATTTGCCCCATTCAAAACTGGAAGAGAGTTGTGAACCTTGCCAGGAAGTTCACAGAACAGAATACTCAACTTCTCTCCAGTTAATGTCAAGGAATTGTAGATGACCAGCGAGGGTTTGGGCAATGGAAGCAAATAATCATTAAAATCTGAAGCGAGGCGAGTCCTGCCCCGCTCTGCCAGCACCCTGATACCTCATCACTCCTTTCTTGCATTTCAGAAAGGTTGTGCTCAGGGTTGGCACACTATAACTAGAAAGCAGACAGCAATTTAGAAGGATCCAAGTCCTTTCCTGCTGCTGTGAGCTGACAGCCTTAGCTTTTATTGTCTCTGCCCAGGTACATCTCTTTAGTGTTCTTTGCGTCCTTTGAGCCCAAGAGACAGAGGAAGAAAAATCATTTGAAAAAGAAGCAGCTCCAAAACCGAAGAACTGCCAACTGGGTCCTTCCTTGCCCTCACAGAAACACCTTTAATGTGCTCTGCACTTTTCTGCCTCCATGCAGGAAGTGGAGGCACGGTGGGAGTTGCCCTGTGAGCACAGGGGGAAGTCACACAGGGTCAGCACGTCACGAGATGATCCAAAGAGCCTGCTCGTCCTGATGGAGTAAATGCTGTAATTTTGAGGCAGCTGTATTAAAAAAAAAAAAACCAGCCAATAACAACAGCAATGGACAAGTGGAAATCTGTGCTTATAAGGATAAAAGAGTAATCATAATGGTCAAATTTAAGCTTACCTGGTTTTCCCTTCTTTCTTTCCCTAGTTACTGAGCCGGAAGGATAAAGCCACCTTTGACAAGTTGGAGTATGTGATGAGTAAAGAAGATAATTACAAAAGGCTTAGAGACTATATCAGTAGCTTGAAGATGACTCCTTGTATTCCCTATTTAGGTAAGTTGGAGCATATTTCTCCAACAATTATACAAACAAAACACCATCTTTTAAGCATTCATGAAACTGTTTCAATACTTCGTTAAAGTGTCTGTAACCCCAGTTGATTCTGGGTACTCTCTGTATGTGGTAAGACAGAATTTCAGCAAGAAAATACCTGTTAAACCTCACAAACACTTCGGGTTTTACATGCAGTATCAGTTTGCTAGGAAATTGTTTTCCCACATGATTTCTGGAGAAGTGCTTAAATTGTTACCCCTGCTAGTGCCCTTACAGCTAAATACTTCACTTTTATAATGATGAGGGCTTTTAATTTATGAGATGCTATAAATCACCAGCCTCTGAGATAAATAAACACACATCTTGGGCTTTGGGACATGTTAAAATCTGGAGATGTTGCTGCATTAGTTACACCAAGGTGACAGGAGAAACGGTGTTGTTATGACTGACTCAGCTTTATGGAGTAATTATTAGTAAATGACATTCCTGAGTATCTAAAAACCAGATCAATGTGTTTAATATGCATTGGTTTTGTTGCCAGGCTAATCTAGTGTTATTTAAACTAAGACATTAAAGTGATCAGTGTGCTTTTTTTTTTTTTTTAATGTAGCTTTTGTTTGATACCTTAAGATGTTGGTAGTTACATAAAATTAAGGAAACGTGTATCCAATTTTTGGTACTTCTGCAGGTATCAGTAGCTCTCACACCTGAATTCCAGATGACTTGTTGTGGTCACTGAGACCTCTTAAACTGTAATCTCTTTGTTCCTGAAGTTTGATACTTCCTTTACTCAGCTGGGCTATGAACTTTGTCGAGATTAACTGGTTGAATTTTACATGCTTTGTACTTAAATAGAAAAAAATAGTTTGCTGTGAGAAACCAGTAGTAATTTTAGTGTCCCACAGTGTTCTTCATTCAGGGCCTGATTTAAAGGGGGGAGAAAAGCTGCCAAGCCTAATATAATGTGATTAAACACATAATTCCCATCATGTGTACACACACAGCATATCCACATGGTCAATGGTTCTGAAATGCTTCTGACCTTCCAGATGCTTTTGACCCACGTGCCATGATTTTTGAAACAAGGAACCAGGCTCAAATTGTTTTCTTGCTGATTATAAAGAGTCCCAAGGCCAATTTGTGAAGCAGTTTTTTCGGTTTTGTTCAGTTACAGCTGTTTACCCCTGGACAGTAGAAGCTTCTTGGTCTAACTTGTGTATTAGAATAAGCTTTGGGCTTGACTTGGTAGTTTGAAGTGAAATGTGTAGTTATTTTCTATTTAAAAGGGAAGAAATACTCTTTGCTGTGACCTGCTGGAATTAAAGGATGTGTTGGGACCTGGCTTCATGTGATATCAGTTCTTACCACTGACATAAAGAATGTTCTCCAGAGGAACAGCAAATACCCACTGGTGCACTCTCTCTAAAATTAACTGTGAAATGAAATAAGTGGCAAAAAGAACAAAATTGCCTTGAAACTCCAGTCATGATAAATTTGTATCCATCTTGGAGAACTGAAAATTGAGTCCAAGTTTCCTCATTTGATCAAAACTCCGGTTTCCATTCAGACCTGAGTAGATTTGTTATTTCTCAGATTTCCTTCCCAAGGCGTTTTTGCTCATGTAAGAGTCAGAAACTAAAGTTGCTCTGTTTAGCTACTGTTTTAAGCTTTTCAGTCTAGGTTACAATTCCTGAAAGGAACTGTAATTCTGCTGCACTGGTCATGGAGGCTCCTTTTGGAAGGTCATAAGGGAAAGTGAGTATATAAAAGAATTTCAGCTGCAATTTCCAGGATCGATGTTTTACCTTCAGAGGATACTTAGGTTACCCTTATGCAACCAAATATCAAATATGGGTGTAGAGGGTTTTTTCATGACCATCTTAGCACGGTAAGATAAAACTTTAAAGCTTTTTTGGTTTAGTTTTTGCAATGGCAGTGGAGCCACAGAAGTACAGATTGTTGTCTTAATACCTCACCTGCTGGGGACAAGATAATGATGCCCTTTCACATTTAACTGAAGCTGGGGGGAAATAAAAATGTCTTATCATAGAGTTCTGATTAATCTGAGATTGCACAATGAAACAACTGAGCCGTATCTTGAGAAGTAAGATTTTTATTTAACTAAGCAGTTCTACCTTGTGAAATATTTTCTTATAGCTGTCTTTGAGGAGTTATAACAAGAAACAGAAAAGCTGAAAACAGGTTATTAAATATATTCAGTATGTTAAGCTGAATATTCAGGCACTTCAGTGATAGTGCTTGCAGTAGATTTTGGAAATAAATGTGAAAACTGTGTTTCAGGTTTGGTACAAGTTAAGCTTTCCTGAGGTCTGCCTGTTAAATTTAGGCTGTTGGTGCAGGAGTGGTGAAGGCTCTGTCCTTCACAGGCAGAATGTCCAGGCTAAGAAGTTTGAGGGGATGCTACAACAGCTTTTCAAAATCTTCTCTAAAAGAAGTGGGAGAGAAAACATTGAGCTCTTCAAGTCCTTCACCCTGCTGAGGAAGTTCAGCCCAAAAGCTGCCAACTGATAGAGTTACAGGCGTTTGAAAGTGAATTATTGTACAGGGTATGAATCAACCTGTTAAAGAGATGCTGTGCTTTCCCTCCTCGTAATCTTAAATTGGCAACTTAATTAAGTCTTTCCTTTCAGGGCACAGCATTTGTACAGTCTGAGGTTTCTGGGTGTATTTTTGTAATAACGTTTAGTTAATGTCATCCTGCAGCTTTAAACTGGGGAAGACTCACTTTTTACGTGTCTAATATATAAGATTTAATTACAAGGCTGAGTGCAAGCTAATTTTACTTTGGGTTTCTGCAGAGTACACCTTTCACTGGCTGCACTGAATAAACAAACACTGTTTTTGTAGCAGGCAAGAGATTTTTGGGGTAAAATAAGCTCTTTGCCAAGGAGAGGAAATCTACTGGTTGAATGAACTAAAACTGTCAGAAGTGTTCATTAAAGGAACATTTTGGAGGGCATTTTCAGCTTTTAAGTTTACCTGAACTGCTCGTCTATCCAGCTACCATAGAAAAAAAAAAAAAAGATAGACTATAGAGAGTCTGAATTTTAAGCATTTGCAAATAAAAAGCATTTTATAGGAGACTCAGTCAGTGAGGTCTGTGTGATATTTGTAACAAACAAATATTCCTTACATGAAGAACAATTTCAGAATGGGAATAGTAAACATTTGTGTCAGTTAAAGTTCTTGGAATTTGGGAATGGAATATGCTGGGACTGATTCCCCACCGCCACCAACCCTGATTAAATATTGGTGAAACTTTGTTGGCTTTGATCTCTTGACCAAAGATTTAATTACAGCCCTTTCAGCCATGTATTATCAATGAAGCTTTATCTACTCCAGAGAGTGTGTTCTGAAAGCAGAAGGCTGTTTCCTCTTCTCTGAATCACATGTGAAGCTTTCCCTATCGTTTGATCCTGACTAATTTAACATAACAATCAGATTATTCTTTCAACTGTCAGGGTTTCTTATGTTAAATAGGGGCAAAGTTCCTTAAAAATCCTGGAGGCACATGTGAGGTGCTAAACAAACACATTGGTTGCAGTTCAGAACACCATATTTAGTTTTATGTAATATTAAATAAAATCAGGCAACCTGTGGGACTAAGTACAGTTATTTTATATAACAGGAAGAAAGCTTTAGTTTTGAGATTCCGGTAAACTAAAGCGAATGTTTTGTGGTACCCAATTTTGGAAGTATTTTCTAATTGATTCCCTAAATTACTTACTAATTCCAGTGGAAATCCAATCTCTAGAAGATAAAACTCAAGAGAGACAGTGTCAGAAGTTGTAAACACAAAGAGGAAGGGAAACGTGTGTGCCATAAGAGCCACCCAAATTTGGGATGACAGGGAGAACACACTCAGAGCTGGTTTCTAACCTTTGTTTTACTGGGGCAGCAGAAATCTGTGTTGGACAAAAACTTCTGATCTTCAGAGACTTGGACCTTTAAATTTCTGTGTGTGAATATTTGATCTGCTCTCATCACTCCTAATGGGAGCAGGGGAAGGGGCTCCAAGTGTCAAACCATGATTTTAATATCAGGACTTTCAGTTTTGCCATTTAAGTTCAAACCATCAAGAAATACTTTGGTTTAATTAGGATGTTTGAATATGGAGGTTGAAGGTAAAAAAAAAAGTACCCAGCAATTTGGTTGTCCAGTAATTTCATAAAATCAATTTTCTTATATTGGGAGTGTTTTACAGAAGGTAGGACTTGCAGATCTTAGTGGTGTAGAGAATTCCTTCAGGAATTCTATGTTTGATTTGCCACTTCATTTTGAAATAATTATTTGTTGCAAAAATCTCTCTGCTGGCAAAGCTAAAATGTCTCCAATTTTTTGCGTAGCTTCTCGGAGTAAATATTGAACAGTAATGTGAAGTCAGATTTTTCATTGAAAGCAATATCCACATTTTTAAATAAATTGTTAAATAACTAATCAATTTTCACATTAAAGCAAGACAGTGTCATTTCACATATTTACATTGAAGGGTTGAGCTCACCTGAAAGAGCATAAGCTTTTTGAAGTGGAAAAGCTTATATCTTGTCATAAATCTGGAGGTTTTTTTACCAGCTTCAACAACTGTTTATATAAAGCATGTTGGTCTTGAACAAAGGATAAATATGCTTTGCAAGCACAAACATCTGCTTTTGTGAATGTGTGTTTCAAAAAAACCCACCGTCTGTCACAGTAGAGAAGGGCTCTAAAAAAAAGGAGGGGGGAACACGACAGGGAAAAGAAGACAGGAAAACTGTAGGCCTGCTTTTTGCAGGGGCAGATTGTGCAAAATAATGGTTAAAAAAAAAAGTAATACTTTATTTATTTATTTTTTTTTTCCTTTCCTGGAACTGAAGCACCGGGAAGTTTACACGGGATCACTTGAGCGCTGTGGGCTTTCTCTCCTCAGTCTATAGGCCTGATCATCATCTGAACTGCTTTCAAGGAGTAGGAGCCTCCCCGGTACTCAGCCCAAAATATTCCATCCTGGTACTTGCTCCTGTAGTGGCCTCCCCTGTACCACACCCCGTTGAGGTTGGAGTGGGCACACGCGTTGTACCACCAGCCGCCCTTGTGGAAGTGAGCGCAGTTTCCTGTGGGACAGAGGGAAAGGGGTGAACCTGGAGAAATGGAGATTTACTAAATGGTTTGGTGTTGTGGCTTGTTCTCAGGGGGCACTCAGAGGTGCTTCACAGCCTGTTGTGGTCGCCTCAGTTGCTGCTACTGTTTGAGTTGTAAGCTCTGTTGTAGCAGCAGCCGTGGGTGGAGGGGGGATTATTAACGCTGTGTTTAATGGGACAGCTGAAAAGGAAGGAGATAACTCCTCTCAGGCTACCAGCACTGCTTCTCCATGAGCTAACATCCAAGGAACTCGGGTTATGTGCTGTTTAGAAATACTTTAAGGGAAGCCATGTGAGCTGATACAGCCCCAAGCAGCACACGGGGCCACGGCTCCACAAAGACTTGCTTGTAACTTGTGTTTTTACTGTTACTGTCTGAGAGTTTGCAGGATTTGTCCAGCTTTGTGGTTATTGACAGCTGAGGAAAAGCAGTTGAAGTATTGCAGTCCCCAACCTTGCCTTTACTGCTAAGGGGAAAACTGGAGGACAGGAGCAAAAAAGTGTGCTTTAAGGAGGACAGAACCAGTGATCTGCCCCTTTCTCAAGTATTGGTACGTGACTGAGCCTCTGCACACTTGCAGTTCCTTTCATGGTGTCCAGAGGCTTTAGTTCCTGGTGATTATTGTTGTGTGGGAGCAACACAACTTGGAGATCACCTGGACAGGGATTCTGACTGTGCAGTCACAACGCAAGTGATGAGGGTGGCCTCGAGCTGAACAAAGTTGCTGAGGTGTGTTCTCAGTGAGGGTGATAGAATTTGAATTTCTGACTGGTGCAGGGCATTGGAGGGAGCGCTGCCAGCGTGATTCGTGTCCCCGTGGGTTTGAAGCCCCTTTCAGTAAATAGAGCCGCTCTATCAGGATTTACATCCCGTTTCTGGGTGCTGTATTGGATTTATAAAACGTGGTACAACTGATGGAGTGCACATTCCTCGCCTTTCCCCTCCTTACCTGAATACATGTCCCTGTCTCTGTCCAGTGTGGTGAATTGCTTCCCGTTGTGCCAGATCATGGAATCTCCTGCGTTCCCTTGGTAGGTGCCGAGGCGCAGCCGGTAGAACTCGCTCTCGGGCTCCAGGCGGAAGCTGCTGTACTCGGCGTACACCTTCTTGTTGCTCCAGTCCTCCAGCTCGATCAATAGTCTGTAATTATCCTGATTGCTGAGCATGTAGATGTTTTCCAGTCCCAGCCAGTACTCTCCATCGATGTTTCCAAATCCTTTCTGTGTGAACAAAGATCAGGAGGGCTTAGTTTTTCCTGTTTGTCAAAGCACTCCTCAGCTGGAGTGTTATAAACCGGTGGAATTTGGGTACTGGAAGCCTTTAAGCTTCTGAATTACTGCTCAACACATTCATTTAAGTGCCTTATTTTGCTGCACTTGGACTGCTGAGCTGCACGAGACGCTGCCAGAATCAGTAAAGGTAGCAAAATTTCTGTGTTCTGGGCTGTCCTTTTCTATTTAAGGTAAAGGGGGTGAGAATTTCGGGGAAACCGAAACAATATATTTCTTGACAAAGCTGAGGGAATCAGTAAGAATGGATGAATAGTGGAATTTTAGGGGTATATTTCCAGGTTGAAAAAGGCGTTTATGGATCAACCACGTCAGTGTTCAAGGCAAATAACTTTTTGTTACCTTTGTATTTCAACTGGTGTTGGTTTGTACTGTGAATTTAATCACATAATTCATCTGTGCTCTTTACTGGATTTATTAGAAATTAAATATAAAGGCATCTTTCATTTCAAATCACAGACTGCCAGCACAATAGACGTGAAGTGATGTTTCCTGTCTGCTCTCTCTTCTGCCCAAGTACACCAGTGTTGCTAATGTTTGGTGTTGCATTGTAACCACAATGTTTATGGCTACTTGATAAGGCATTCCATAACTTCCTTATTACATTTTGTAGCGTTTAACAGCTCCCAAACCAACCACACACTGTTCTGAGAAGTAAGGACTTTGAGTAACTATTGATTTAATTTAATGATTATTGATCGATTGATTGGATAATTTATGTATTCATTATTGATTTAATGATTCCTATTTGAACCATTAAGTTCCAAGAGTGCAAGAAGCAGAAATGCTTATGCTGATTTTTTTTTTTTGTCAATTCCTTTGTATTTTTAAATTTTTAAATTACTGCTGGAGCTGAAAGTGGCTCGGTTCTCCCCGCAGGTACAATGCAGGTGGCATTGCACATCCATTTCAGATGAGCACAGCGCCGCAGGGGAAAACTGTGTCCTGTGTGTATGAAGTCAGCACATGATTATTTAAAAAGCCCAACCAAATGGCTGTTCAAATGTCCTGTTCAGCCTGTAATTACTCCAAAACAGCATCCATTGCTCATCCTGGGCATTCTGCCTGCGAGTGCAGAATATCCCAGTAACACACAGGCATGTGTTTCCCTTCACCAGCCTGACATCTTCACATTTCTAACCTAAATTTACAAGTGGAGATTATTTCCTTCAGTTCAGTCTTAGGACTGTTTTTAAGTTGAGGCCCCGATGCTGCAAATCTATTAACGTGTTTGAATGAATAATTTCACTGGCTGAGTTTGCCTATTCATAAGGGGGAACAATTAAGCTTTACACGTCCTTACTGCGGTTCTCAGTGTGTTAATAAAAATCATGTGTTTAGTTAGAGCTTTGTAATAAGTGGCTTCCCAATCAGTGTCTAGAACAACATGTGTCTCCCAGTTTTGTTGTGCATCACAAATAGAGGCTATTTCAGACCACAAGCTGGTTCACACAAAGTTAACCGTGCCTTGAGGAAAAACAGGACATTCCCACTGAAATATGTTTGCCTCTGAGGGGTGGCCACTCTTTCCAGTTATCCTTCTTCACCCACTGACTCTCTGCATTCCACAATTTACCTTGTAACTGTCCCAGTTCCTGAAGAAGTTGACAGATCCATCTGTCCTCTTCTGAATTACTGCCCATCCTCCGGGGTCCAGGCTGTTCTCACACCACAGTTGCATTGGCTCGTTGCTGTTTTCAGGTTTGATCATGTAAATGCCACTGTTGGAATGTCCAGCTTCCTTGGCTTGTTGGCAGTCTTTGAATGGACCTTTTGGAGGAGATACACTGTAAGCATTCAAGCTTGGCTGTGCAGTGCCCATTGTTCAGGAAAATTTTGGTGATGGAAAGTCAGTAATTCAATTAAGGTATAAAGCTACCATGGAAAACAGTGCAAAAAGTTACTGTCTGAGATTAATTGTGTATCTATAAATAAACATATCCTCTCTCTTTATGTATTTTTAAACAAAAACTTCATTTTGCTAGACAAATAATAGACCTTGTTTACCAACACTTAATTTTTTAGGTAGGTCTGCTGTGTTCAAGATTTATACTCTTTCTCTTGATACTGAAGTGCATTATAACTTTTATTGATTATTTTCTCCTTTTTTACAAGAGGTAGACATCAATTTACCTCATTATCCTGGTGTATCAGTTTGAAACTCTTGGAAGTTAAAACCAAAACAAACTCGGGATACCCAACTAAAGCTCTGAATACATGAGTAGTTTGGGAGCTGGTGTAAGAAATATTTACTGCCAGAGCCTACAGGCGTGGAATTTAATCAGAGAGAGTTCTTACACTGCACATTTTTTTGCCTTTATGTATTTACCCAGTGTTTTGGGTGGGGCTGTTAACTGTGGATAGGAATCTTTTAAAGGTTTCTATGTCATCCAGGTATGATACAGGTGGATGGGTACTGATGAAGAACTAAGCAATGGAGAAGGATTTCTGAGGAGACAAAAGGGCTCATAAACTTGTTTTCAGGGCTGTGGCTCTACAAAAATGCTGTTCCTGTTGAAAGCTCTATTTTAGTCCACATGAATAGTGGTTTTACAAATACCACTTGGAGAAGGGCAGCTGGTGGTTCTGTGAGAAGGGTGCCGTTTTCATATCTCTGAAAACTTTGCCTTTCATTTTTTGGTAGTACTTTTACTTTCTGCATTTTACAAAAGAATTTGTGTGTCTATCATGGCTTCAGTTGGTTTAGAGAGGCTGGTTATTTACTAATGAAAAGCAAAGTGTGTTCTAATGGCTGGTTAGGGGTGGGTGCCCTAAATATGTTCGAAAACTCAGTATAGCTGAAAATAAATTACCTGCAGCTTTCCTCTCCTCCTGGAAGGCTAATTTGCTCAAACATCCTTGGAAGTTCAGAGAGAACTCATCAGTCACAGAAGCAGCTCATGTGCAAAGCAGCACAGGAGACAGTTGTTGAGGTTATTCTTTAATCAAAAGCAGAGGTTGAGGGAGATTGACCTTCACTGCAGATTAAGGTTGTGTGACAAAAGCAGGTTGAAAATTGCCCTTCTCTCAGATATTCAGGTAGTAGTTTCCAGTTTGACAAGTATGTGATTAATAAGAAATCCTTAAAACATTTCCTATTAATTAGAGTATATAAAGCTTGTGTATCTAATGAGGAGAACTTGGAGCTGCTGGCTATGACAGAAGTACGGGGGGTATCGCAGACATTGAGCCCTCATTGCCAGTTCAGCTGCACTGGCAGGATTTGTGATGGAAAGAAATCCTGTAGCTGTGGTATATGAATGCTTTTTCTCTTGTTCACAATTAAAATTTCCAGGTAGATTGTGAAAGTTGCAGAGTTTGTCCACGAGATAGATAATTTTGTGAGTTAAGCCGGGTCTCACTTCCTTTCCTCGAACTCTCCATGAGAGACCTAAGCAGATGTTTGCAGTGATTTTAAGTAGTTTCTAAGGCAGACAGAATTCTACCAGTCTGTTTATATAATGCACGTGGATCACTTCTAGAATGCAGCTGGCATTAAGGAAACAGGATGCAACTTGTCTGCTTTGATGCTCAGCTTTGTCTGTGTGCTTATCATAAGTTAATGTTTTGGTGGGGGTGTCAGACTTTTGCTGTTACTGTTAGGAAATCCAGCATATCCCATCATTTTTGGTGTATAGCCTTGAACCTTTTTTCTTGATTAATGATTACAAGTTCATGCTGTAAAAACTGATCTTGTTCAGTGGAAATGCTGAGATTTGTGAGGCAGTGGAAGGTTCTCCACAGTGCTGGTGTGAGTGGAGGCTCTGACTAATGAAAAAAGCATGATTTTCCTGCTTAAATTCTTACAGATTTTGTAGATTATCTACATAAGGAATAAGTATCTCACACACATCTACTCTTTTGTAACAGCCTGTGTTCACCAAGTCACTGAGACAGTTCTAAGGCAGAAGTACTCTGAGAAGATGAGCTGTTAAATATTTCACTTCTAAAACTGTGGTTTAGATGTATGATTTAGTGCAGATGATATTCTGTGGTAAATTAAATGTGGTAGAGAAGGAAAGGGATTAAATATTTTAAGTTGAAAGCTTAATAACTTGGTGGTGTAGTAACATTAAGAGGCCAAATGTTATCTTGAGCAGATGATATGAAAGCTGTGCTTGTGTAAGCTTCGTATAGAGGATTTGAGGGGGCAACAGTAGAGGAGAAGTGCAAAATAAAATTGGACTATTAATATATTAAATTATATTGTTAACTGAGAGGTATTAGTAGGGGTGTGAGGAGGGAGAATGTGTAATTTTCAAGCACTGGGTTAACTGGAAACTGCTTTTTGCAACAATGATGGCAATAAATGTTGGGCAAATTGTGACAGCTGTAACCACAGTAAAGTTATCCTTCCTCAAATTTTAGAGCAGTATTTGTGCAAATTAACCAAACTACCCAAAAATAGAACCTCATCCTTCTGTTCCCCATGTATTTTGAGTTTTAGTCTCTACCCACAGTATTTAGATGCCCATTGACCCTTCTGTAAACATAATGTTGTGTGTAGGTATTTTTAAGGAGCTTTCACCTCCTGTATCTGATGAAGTTGTACCTACTTGTTTGTCCAGGTGTTTATTCTGACATAAGCCTTTAACAGACCTATTTTAAATTGGGCTGTTTGGTTTTCATTGGTCTTTTTTGACATCTTTATGCATTATAAATAGTCCTTATCTTTTAATTGTAAAGGTGGCTTTTCTATGACAGTTTTCAGGCTGTGCACTGTTAAATCTGCTTACCTTAATTTTGGGAGTCAGAGATAATAACTGGGCATTGTGTTGGAATTGGGGGTTTGATGATGGATGCTCTACCAGCTGTAGCAATTCTCAGCCCTCCTTTTCTCAAGGCACTGCAAGAAACCCTTAAACTTCCAACTCAAGAAAACAGCACTAAAGGAAGCTGAAGGAGGTTAAAATAAGTGTCCTGAGATTTCTTTGTGTTCCCCTGCAAAAATAGCTTCCAACTCTGAACTTTTAGGGGTTAAGGGGTCAGTGAAAAGCAGGGTAGATAATTCAAGGGATAACACTGCTCGTTTTCTCTGTGCAGCAGGCACGTATCGAGAGAGAAAAAGATGCATTTAGAACAAAACCTTTAGGTGAGGCTTTGCTGGGAAGCAGGAAGTTGTGTGGTTTTTTAGAATGATACTTGTGCTGTCTGAGCAGACATCAACGTGCTGTTTGGTAAGACCTGTTTCCTTTGTGCCACGATGTGCAGTTGAAATTCCCGTGACGTCTGGCATTTTAACTGGGCTCGTGCCTGAATCTTCTGCAGGCCTTGAAGAAAAATAGTTGTTCTTTACATCAGCAGCTGGTTGGTTGTAATGCTGCAGGACAGTCACAAATATTTGGCTTCATCTTTGGAACCAAGTTAGCTTTGAACTGAGACTAAAGGCAGTTTGAAAAAAAAAAAAAAACAAAAACAAAACCAAAACCAACCTAAACCCAAAACCCTTTCACTGGGCTAACAGAAGCCAAGGGTAAGCACTTGAATGGATGTCTGAGAACTTGTTTTTCTGAATCCTTGGATTCTTTTAAAAAATAACAGTTCTGTCAATTATTTAATAAAGTGAGAAACACGATTTCAGGGCAGCTCAGAGGTAGTTAATTATCTTGTCTCTAATTTTGATTGCTAGTGATAAATGAATTTATCTACTGACCTGAAGAATGCAATATGTGAAGATGTGATACAGTCTCCTGAATACATGTTCATAATATTTATGGTATTAGTTTAACTTGCCATCCCCTGCTGACGTCTGACTGCTGGGATTGTGGTTACTGATTTTAAATTTTCAAAGCTGAGTGCATCTAATTGGATCCAACCTTGATTCAATTATCCTTTCAAACTTATCACTTGAATATTTCAACCAAACACTCCGAGACTTGCTGCACCACTGTGATGGTGGATTTAGATGTTCATTTTAAAGCAGGTCAGAATAGAAGGATGAAAAGTCTTCTAGCAGGATTATCTTCTGGCAAATGTGTCTAAGTAAGTATAAAGAAGAACTACTTAAAATCACTTCATTTGTTTAAGATTAATTAGTTTCTCTTATTCACCCTTGCCTGCTACTGTAAAATGCCTGGCTGACAGGTATCATCAAAGAAACAGGTAAATAGTGGAAAGTTTATGCTAATATTGAATTTTCATTCCTGTAACTCAAACCCAGCTGGAGAGAGATGACCCTCAGTATTTTGTGACTTAGAGGTGTAAATTGTTCAGGCTGAAATTCTGAGTATCAGCCATTGCAACAAATTCATCTTATGCAGAAATGGGCTGTTTGGCAAACTCAAGCCTTCCCTGGGAGGTGAGAGGGGGACAGAAAATCAGGAGCAAGGGCGAGCTGTACCAGGTACTTTGAATTCTTGGTTCTGTGTTGATAGTGGGGGACAATTTCCCTCGGGAGTGGAGAGATGCCAGGTTAGACACACAGCGATGGGTAACTTACCCTCATTAATCAGAGCCAGCGGGGGCACTCTGAAAGGACTCTTTGTAGGAGAAGTGGCTGGATCAGGTGGTGGCCTCACATCTCTGGGGTATCCCGGGTCTCTCTGTATCTCGTTGCCTCCCAGGAGGACGGGAGTGTAGGGCTGGCTGTTGGGAATGTGCTGTGGCACCACCTGGACGAGGGGCGGGGAGCCGTGGCTGTCCTGTCGCGAGAAGATTCTCAAGCACTGCTCTTCCAGCAGCGAGATCGTCACAGACTGGTTGTTCACCAGATCAGTCAGTGCTGCGTATTTTACTTCGAGCTCCTTGTATTTCGTTGCCATCCTCAGCATTTCCGTTGTGACGTTAAGGACTTTGTTTTCCAGCTGGGAAAGCTCGAGGGAGTTGTCGCGCTTGCGGATTATCTCGTGCAAGAGCTGCATGTACAGTTGGGTGACCCGGGAGTTCATGTTCCGACTTTCTTTCCTCAGTAGTTTCACTTCGTTCACGATGTTGCCATCCACGTCCACCACCAGCTGCAAAATGTCAATCTCCCGCTTCTGCTTGGACAGCACGTCCTTCAGGTTCTCGATGTCCATCCTGGTGACTTCGTCCTTCCTGCTGCCGCCAGCTGGTCCGTTGGTGTTCACGCAAATTGGCCCCGTGATTTTTTGCTCTGGGACCAGGAAGGTGTAACCACATTTCTTGCCTTCCTCCCCACCCTCTGCTGAGCGAGGGTGTCTCCGCTGGGGCGTCTTGCTCGGCGTGGATTGTTCCGTGCAGCGCCCGATGGACAACAGCAGGAACAGCAGGACACCCAAAGTCCACTTGAGTATCTTCATTTTACCACCAGCGTGGTGACTGTCAGGAGGCTGCTGAGCAGATAAAAGATAAAGTCAGGAATCAGAGGCAAAACTAAAGCTCCTCGACTGTTGAACTACCTGAACTGGTGAATTTGCCAAGGTGTGGAGCCAGACCTTTGGAATCTCTTGGAGTTAGATTCCGTTAGATTGCTGTCAAAGAATTAGCTTGCTGTTTTGAGCAGCAAACACTGAAATTTAGACATGGGATTTAGTAGAGGAGTTGTTGAAACAGATGAATTTTCAGAAACAGTGTCCTGCTTAGATTGTTTAGCACTGATTGGACTGCTCAGATCTGTGCTCACTGCACAAGGTTATAGAACACACGGTGCTTGCAGAATCCCTTCATGGAAGGGAAGTAGACAAAATTATTTCTGTAAATGTTGGAATTTGGTTTATAGAAATATTTCTGGTCCTCTCTTAGCTTTATATCTGCATAGATGTATAATTTGCTAAATACTATATAAATACCTATTCATATGTTAACCCATTTTTTTTCAAATTTATATATACAAAGGTGTAGTATTGAAAAAATACATTTTTAACACTATTTTTGGACACTGATGTTAGGCAGGAGATTAGCTTAAGGTAGTTGTCTTACACAGTGAAAATTACTTATTCAAGTAACTTTAAGTTTGTGAGGAAAGCTTGGGACACTGTTCTGCGCGTGTGTCCCTATTTGGTTGCCTTGGGGTGCCCATTTCAAATTGTTGTCTTGCTATTTTTGTATTTTTGAGAAGATTTTTGTCCAAATAATAGTGAAATACCAGGTGTTTCATTCATCTTTAAAGGAAAATAATTAATTTCTCTTAACTTCGTGTAAAGACTTAAAATGGTAAAAATCTGGGAATTCTTTTGAGCTATGACTGGAGATGGTAAACAAAGGTAGCACTTAAGTAAGGGGGGAAACTCCCTCTTTTTTATGGTTTGTTTGCTTTCTGAAGCAGATGACTGTCCTTATCTCAGCTGTTGATCTGCCTTTCCTTGCCAGGCTACTTCTACAAGCCCTTTTTGCTTGGCTTGAAGGTTGTCTTGCAAGCTCTGCTTCTGGGAGGGGGAGAAAACGCTTGCACTTAACACATACTGAAACCCCGATTTTTTACCCTGCATGAATGGAGGGAACACATAAGTTTGAGGAGGTGTATATCAAAAAAGTAATTTCTCTTTGTTTGTAGTAATAGGTAATTAAAACTAGTAAATGTAATTTTTTTTTTCAAAAGCAGAACTTGAAATTTTTGTTAATATTTCTCTGCTGAAAGTGTTCTGTTTAAAGAAACAAAAAAAAAAAGAAGAAGGAAAAAGTATCACTTTTCTCCAGAGCTGCTTGTGTGTTTTTCTTTGGTAATTTCAGACAGTTAAAATATTAATCACTTGAATAGTGCTCAGATTTTGGAAGTTCATTAGGTTAAATGTTCACATGAATCATGGGAAGCACGTGGGGAACTGCTCTGTGTGTGGTTTCTGAGCTGACAAGGATGAGCTGAATTAATTGTCTGAAGCTTAAAAACTCTTCGCGTCTCCCTAAATTATTTTTCAATCCTTTTATGTTCAGTGTTTGCAGATTGAGGGAAAGTGGCTTCATGGCATCTGGTTGGGGATGAAGCCCTAGCACAAGCCCAGTACTTTACTATTTTCACAGTATATAATAGCTACTTCATAGTCCAGGAAAGTGAATAGCACTTTAGTTCTTGGTAGCTTTTAAATACCCTACAGAGTTACTGAAATAATGAATGGCTGGGGATTTTTCCCACAGCAGCACATTTTTTTTTTCCCCTGAAATACATTAAAACTTAAATGAATCTTTCAAACCCCAAACACTTTGCGACACAACCCACGTTCTGCCCGTGTATTCTGCTGCAGTCTGCTTTCTGCATTTCTTTTAATATTAAATGTGTTCATTTTGAACTTTTACCCTTATGTGTTAAAGTTACAAGTTCTGTGCCTTATACATGTGCTGTCAGACCATTAAATGAATTACAGGGTCTAGTACAGCGCAGCCAAAAGCAGCAGCTGCATAAGATTATGCTCTAGAATTTCAACTGATTCAAATGTCTTGCAGTAAAGTGAGACATTCAGATAAGCAGGGATGAGTTCCTTCCGAGGATCTACCTGGTAGGGAATGTCTTTGCCCCCACGGAAACTTTGGTGTTGAAAAAAATTAAATGTCTTAAAATGCTGCTTGTCGTGTTTGAGCAGCTTAGTGCCTAACTTGTTATACAAGAATAGGTTCTGAGCAACATATTTACCTGGAGTTTTAATCAGCTTAGAGGGAAATGAAAATACTGTTTCAGAAATTTCCTGGTGTTCTGGGCAAGCAGCTTAAAAAAATAGGAGCTGTTTATCCAAAGTATCACAGGATGATAGCCTTAATATGTAAGACCTGAGTGACAAATTAAAATTACAGTTGGGGAAATAGTTGTAGGGTTTTCGAATCAGACACATTCTGTCCCAGATTCCCAGGTTTAGGTGTTTAGGTGGTGGCAGAACTGTTGGGAGATAGTTGAGGCTCTCAGGGATCAGATCACACAGAACCACAGGCAAGGCTGGAGTTGCTTCTACCGAGGGGGGCTGCTGGAATACCTGGTTGCAGACCTTGGGAATCTGTGATTGCAGACGCTATTGCTTTAAAATATATTATTTAACTCCTTATGAACTGTCATGTTTTTAAATTGGAATAAGCTGCTGCTTCATTTGGTTCTGTCCCATTTCTGGGCCACCCGGTTGTGGGGCTCAGGTTTCTGCAGAAGTTGCATTACGTCTGTTCTGTCACACGGGTGTTTTATGGCTTCTGCAGGGGAAAATGTGCAATTATTCCTTGCTACACAGACTTCTTCATCAGCCTGTCAGAAACACTCAGAGCTGTGGACAGAGTTTCAATACCGTTTTACGTTTAATGCCGTTTCTTTTCTTCTCGTTTCTTTCTTTTTCCAGACTGATCCCCGTGCAAAAAAACCCAACTTGTTTTCAAAATTAGTCTTGGACGTACTACTTTTAGAAGTGCTTAAAGGAACAAAAATTCTAATTTAAAAGAGCAAAACAAGCCAGTAACTACTATTTTTGACTCCTATAACACACACTGTGTTATCCCTCTAAATATTTTATCTCAAAGACAGAGTTGCAGGGACGAGGATGTGTGCAAGTTGGTATATATTTGTCATTTATCAGCTTTCTGCACAGCAAACTATTTGTTCTTTGTTATACTGCTGTGATTCAGGTTCAGCAGGATGTAGAATTTGGAAACCCACGGCACAAATTGGAGTCTGTTCCTCCAGAGCTGCCCAAGGCTCTCGTTCTCCCTGGGCAGTGTAGGGTGTGAGTGATGGATGTGACAAAGGTGGTGCAGGTAAATGTGAGTCGAGGGTTCCCTTTGTATGGAAGATGCTGTATCAGTACTTATCTTTATTCAAAATATTTATTAAAAGAGCATGGTCAAGTGATGAACACCAGTGGTGCCCTGTTATATGTAACAGGAAGAGGAACAGGTTTCTTTGAGAGAGTAAATGATAATACTGAGACTAAAGATCCCCTGATCCCAGTTATTGATGTCATACATCCTTCACTTTCTGTTGAGCTTTGCCCAAGCAGCTGAAATCAATAAACCCAGCTGTGCTCCCCTATGTCTACACAGGATAAGTGAGGATTTCTGTGGATTTTTTTTTGGCTTTAAAACTGGGCCCATAACATTGGAAGGAACAGTGATGTGGGGAAAACAATCTTATTACAGGAGAAACGTCCACATAGATTATCAGTATCTCTCCGTATTTAAGTAAGTTCCTTTTCCCTATATAAACAAGGGCTTTTCCAGGAAGTCCCTCTGCCTGTGCTGAAATAACAGGATTACTTCCAATTGTATTGACTGGGATCCAGGAATAGTAAGTTGTTGGGTTTTGTTCATCAGAGCTGTGGTGTATTGAGTCACAGAATTCCGCCTCTTGGAGATGAATATGAGTCTGATTCCGTTCGGGAAAGGCAATCAGAAAGTTGTCAAGGGGCTTTTGAAGTACTCATTGAGAACATGTCACTTTTAAGAATGGTGAATTCTTAGTTGCCTGCAGAAGGGGTTGGTAAATCTGGTCATGGTAGATATTCCGAAAGCACAGCCCAATTTCAGAATGTTTCCAGGTATTTTGGTGGAGTTTTTTTTTTAAAGTGAGGGTTCCTTTATGTGTGTTTGCAGCCACCGTGTGTGTTTGCGCTGTTAGAACAGGCAGGTACAACAAAACAGTGCTTTTTCTTGTCTTTGGAAATGTATCATTTAGGGGCTCCAGAGTTGTCTTTAAAACAGATGCTGAAGATATCAAGCCATCTAGCTATGTTTGCTATAGGAAATTTTACTTCATTCATTGGTGTCTAAATGTTAAAGGACCTAAACCAACAGGGCAGATTACAAAAAACAAAGCCCAATAAAACCATAATTAAGACCTGATAGAGCCATGTGGTTACTGCCAAAAGTTTAAAGGTTAAGATTCCTTTAAAACTTTAAATAGTATATTTTTCCACCCTACTTCAGATCATTCTTTTGGCAGCAGCGAAATATTAGTACTGCGTTATTTGTCTTAAAATAAACATCTCAACATTTGAACTCCAGAGCTGGAAGGCAGCAAAGGGGAGAGAGAGAGTTAAAACCTTGCACATAGCCAGTTTATTGCTTTAAAATTATTGACTCAGCTGTTTTCATTTGTGGGAGATTTAGGAATTGTTCTAAGCAGCGTAAATCGGAGCCTTGGCTGATGATGAATGAACTGAGCCTGGTGTCCGGAGCACACGATGTGCCTCGAATGGGGGTTGTGGTGGTGGTGGTGCTGTTGTTGTTTGGATTGTTCTCCTTCATATGTAAATAAGCACAAAAGGATAGTAAGGAAAAGGGCTCAGAAACCTGGAAAGGATCCATCTTTCTTGTTCCTCAAGGCTGCTGCAGACTTTTTTCCCTCCCATAGCTACCAAATCTTAATTAATTTTGCTTTCTGTAATAGTTTGCTTCTACTTTTAGCATCAGCCCCTTGGTTCTCTCTTTCTGTGTCAGGCATCTCTGAGTTAGTTCATACAAATACATAACTTAAAATAATTTCCATTGTTCTGGATTATTTACTGTATTTTAGCTTCCAAGTCAGCGTGAAGAAAGGAAAAAAGTAGAAAATTATGCATTAGCAAGTCTTTTTGTGGTTTTTATCTGTGCGTTTGTCTGCTGTTTGTAAACAACTCTCTTGTTTTAATGGTTGACTTGCAGCAGTGTCCTTCCCCCTCCCTCTCCTCAAACAACTGTAACAACCCCCTCAATTTTCCACTTTATATAGTGTTGCCTTGTACACTGCACTTCATGTTTACGAAATGGATCTTGATTTAGAAACAAACTGCAGTTCAGCTGAGGTACAACTCACTTTCCAGAAATTGTTGAAGGAAGGGCTTAGTGCCTGTTGCAGCAATGTCTTTGGATTTTTCAGCTGCACAATTGTTTGTGCTACAGACCCGATTATGTTCGGAATCAATGCAGGACTGGTTTCTTGGTTGGCTCCACAACTCAGGCAACTTCCACTCCTCGGAAGTACCATAAATAAAAGTGGACTTGAAACGATATACAACGATTGCTCCTTACAGATGTGCATTGATTTGCCTGGGACTTTTCACAGTGGTTTTATTGAGGTATCCATTTTCTAGTTCTAGTAATGCAAGGTCTATGCTGTGGTGTTGGGTGGAATCCAGCTCCCCTGAAATCGATAGGGGTTTTGGCTTTTGCTTTCTGGTAGGATCGGAATTTCACGTTAGTATGTTCACAGGACCCAAATTACATGCTTAGCAAACACTCTGGGAGTGCTAATTTTCTGTAACTGTAGATAACAATACAGCTAAACAACTGAAACCAGTTCACCCTTACAACTGGAACGAGTTAGTCTCTGCTCTTAATGCAGAGTCCTTTCTAATGCCTTCCAAGTTTCCAAAGTCTACCAAATGCCACAAAAATGAGTTTTAATGTCAGTTGTCAAATTTTTCTCAGAGGCTGAGAAGGATTTGTTTCTTCACAATTGTGTGTTGAGGGAGATGTATGTAGCATTCACAAATAGCTCAAAATGAAACTTGCAAGTAAGAATAACTTTAAAACTTACCAAGAAAAAAAGTCTTCCAGCTGGTTTTGCTTCTGTGGGAGATGGAAAATCCAGAGGCCAAGTTGCTTTTTCTTCCTGTATTACCCGATGCTGTGGATTGTTAATCTGCAGTTGGAGCTGAAAACTGCTTTTGTCTTTCTCTGTTAGATCCAAGCTGCACTGAGGAATTGGGTTTCTCCATACGATAACCAAACTAACTAATCATTGTAAAAAAAAAGGGGAAAAAAAAGTAATGCTCCGCTGTGCGTTATTCCAGGAGAGAGAAGGAAATGTTTTTTTGAAACTGCAGTGTTTTATTCTCACAGAACAGAGCAGAAGTGCTCTAACCAGCTCCAGCTGACCCAGATTCCATATACATCACTTTTGGACAGTGTTTTTTTTAAACAAACACACGCTCGGCTCAGCCGTTCGGCCCACCTATGATGTCACCGCGAGCACTCGGAGAGCAGGAGAAACTCCTCCTTCGGATTTCCTATCCATACCCTCCAGAAAAGGAGGGGGTAGGGAGGCTGAGAAGTCAGGAACAAGGAAAGATTGTTTGCCAGTAGAAGGGAGGTACCATATGGCAACGGACTGTGCAAGAGTTCAGCAGGCAATTACAAATCAAACATTTTTACTACGCTGCCTAAAGATGCCTTTCAAGTTATTACAGTACTGGGCTTCATTTAGAAGAAAGATTCTTTCAGGCTGATAAAACCTGATTTGTGTTGCTGGGAATAAAAGGGGCAGCCTGGCTGGATACAACAGGGAAAATGAAGCATTTGTAGTCTAGAAGAATGTTCGACAGAATGTCGCGTTCGATTCTGGACGTTCACTTTAATAAGAAACAGCTCCGGTCGTTAAAGGCACGAAACCTCCCCTACATGTGGAAAATGTTAAAACTCTCTGTGTGTGTGTGATGGTTTTGGGTAGGTATCACGATGTTTGATAACATCTGACCCGTGTTAGAAGTAGCAAAAGCCGCAGAGATGCACTGAGCAGTGCAGAGTCAGGGCTGGGTTCTGTCCCTGCCCAGCCAGCGCTTGGGTACGTTCAGTTTGATCTCTTGGGGTTCTTCACAAGGGCTGTGCCAGTCACATTTGAAAGAGAACTGCCCCTGTGTGCTTTCAGAATTATTTTAGATTTCACAGCAATGCATCCAGTAGCTTCAGAGAGCTGCTCTCCACAGGAGAGTCCTTCATTTAGCTGAAAAAAAAATCCGGTGCTTAATTGAGCAAGTCATTCAGAGACATAATCCTACAAATGTAAAATCCTGCATAATAGTGCAGGTGCCTGTTGCAGGGAATTTCCCTAATTATAGTTAATAAGCATGATTTACTCCTATCTGTGGAAGGCTGAGGAGGTTTGGGATTTTAAAGGCTTGTTTGGACATAGCTTGGTATAAAGTCAGGTTCAGGACAGCTTACACAGTGTAGCGTGGCAATTAAACGGGGCTGCCTGATGGTTCTGATTATCCTTTCTGTTTCTTAATAAACCGTTTCTAGCAGAATAGAAAATTGAGAGATTGAGTGGGGTATCAGGTCATGTGTAATACCTTTTTATTCGCTTTTTTATATGTCACCTTTCAGCCACAAGTATTTTAATTTGTTTCTGTGTGTGCGCACACACGCGTGTGTGCCTGTTGATTTTGGAGGGGTGCCCAGAGTTTCCCAGCTCACATTTGAGGGCTGTGCTGGTTAGGTGCTGTACAAACACAACTGCTGCTCTTGTGAGGTTGCATTAATAGTCTTCCACCTGTAAAGCCGAACTCCTTGTTATGATTTTGGTTATACAAGGCTGAGAGGTGAAGCGAAATGTAATTTTAAAACTTCCCTTTAACAGAAATTGGGTTTTTGAAATAATATTATTCAAGTTTGTGTATTTTTTTTTTTTTTTTTTAGTTTGGGTGTCTTGTGAAAGATGCAGGGGACGAAGAGCAGTTCCTCTTAATAGCAGAGTTGGTCAGGATGTGTTTCATTTAGTTGAGGCAGAATGATCAGTCTTTGGGTGAAGTTCAAGAGATGGAGTTGCATTTAGAAATAAGTGTTTTATCTACAGCATTAGTGTGTAAGGAGGAGGATTTTCATCTCTATATGATCAGGGGATGGAAAGAGTAGTAAGATTACAAACAGTGCAGGGGGAAAAAGGCAGGTAGAAGACTTAAAATGTCTTATCTGTAAGGCTATTGGATTCATTCCACATTTCAGTCTGATGCCCTTTTTCCCTGGTTAACTTTTCCCACATTGCTGCAAGTTGAGTTCGAGCTTTTATTCAGTTGAAGGGTTACAGATACAATTTTTCCTTCTAGTATATTTTAATTGCTGAAAGAAGTCATAGCTTCCTAAACAATCAGTAATTTTGCTCGGGTGTTTTAGCATTGCGTGTTCAGGGTGCTTCATGTTTGTCAAGGGAATTGTTCATTGGTGCTGTGGTGAAGGTGGGGTTTGCGAGCAGTTGTTCACGCCCTTATAATTACTTTTAGATTTAGAAATAACGACATTATTAAAGACCTGCTTGCACATCAGTCAATGAAAGCAAAAATTCTTCACAATACTGTTGGTGAGGTTTTTTTTTTGTGCTAAGTGTGAGACACTGAAGTAAAGAAACTTTTAATTTCCATCTTATTTCAGGTATTTATCTGTCAGACTTGACATATATTGACTCTGCCTACCCATCCACAGCGAGCATTCTGGAAAGTGAGCAAAGAACAAACTTAATGAACAACATTCTCCGAATTATCTCAGACTTGCAGCAGTCCTGTGAATATGGTAAGCTATTTTGGAAACATTGCAGTGTTAGAGAGAAGAACTTTGTAAAAGCTTCAATATTTGTTTGCTGTAATGCAGCTTAAGCAAGGCCCAGCTCATTAGAATGCCATGAACACCCTCCCTCATCCTCTCAGACCAAAAGTCAGGGTTTATTTTGGTGTTGAGACGGAGCATCAGCGTGAGGAGACAGAATAAAATCACCCTTTTCTTACACACATTTCTGCAGGACGTATTTCCTGATGATAAATGTGGAGTACATCCTATTTGACAGTAGTTTTGCTGGTGTGTTACAAGCTTGTAGCCGTGTGTTTCATAATTTTATGTCCGTGAATTTTAAAAATATGGAGTAGTACTTTTACTGGAGGTAATAAAATACATTCAGCTTGTCTTTTGGACATTTATAGTTCTGTTCAGGGATCAGGTCATGTATTTTTTCTTCAAAGGTCTCCCTCACAGTGCCCTTCATATTCTAGTAAAGTTGTAAGGCTGAGTTTGCAATGGTGGAATGTGAATTAGCACAGGATTGTGGCTTCCCTGAAAGCTCAATATCAAGAGAATTTGGGCTGTGAAGGAGTCCTCAGACAGAGCCCTCCACATTCCAGGTTTGGGCCTTTCAATCTGACCTGGGAAGTTGTCTTTATTTTCCCTCACATGTGCCCTGATAATCAGCTCTGGGGGTTGTGAATGTGGGGAGTGTCAGCTCAGCACGTGAGATTTGCTATGAAGTTCTAAAATTTCAGTATCACCAGAGACTGTAATTTGTACCTTCATCTCACATAAAAAGTCAGGAGACCTGAATCTGCTTAAATAGTTTCTGGAGAATTGCTTACCAGTGAGTGGTATGGTAATAATAAATGTCATCTCTTCTCCAGATATTCCTATGTTGCCTCACGTCCAAAAATATCTCAACTCAGTGCAGTACATAGAAGAACTACAAAAGTTTGTAGAAGATGACAATTACAAGTAAGTACAAAATGCTACAACTGACACAACATAACATAATAACTTCTATAACACAAAGCCTGTCACTTGTAGGATTGTATATTATATGATATGGGTGTCCCTGCTGTTTTATTTTTTTATCCCCCAAGGTGTCTGTCAGCGAAGAGGCTGAAGTTAGAAACCAGCCATTGTGACTTGAATACCTGGACTGTATTTTAAAAAATTAAATTATAAAATTGTAACGATTCATTACTGAACTGTTTGGGAATAGGAAGGAGAGGAGCTGTCAAACTTTGAATTTTTTTTTCTCTCCAGAATGAAGTAGATTTTTTTTTTGTACCTTGCTCATTTCAAAGATTTTTGGTTCTGGAAACTGTGTGGACAAGATACACTTGATCTTCCTGGAGTTCTCTGCCCCTGGAGTCTGCCTTTTCTGTGGGACTTTTGGAAATGGCATTAAACAGTGCCTGTTACAGAAAAAACTTGAATTATGGATGAAATCAAGTTGATAATGTGTTTTCCAAGACACAAAAGGATTTTGGACCAGTAAAGACAAAAGGCTTGGCTTGGCACACTAGGCTTTATAGAAAAATTTAAAATAAAGAGTGTGCCAGGAATAAATATTTTAGTCAAGGTGAGGGGAGCAGTTGTATATTTTTTTTTAATTCTTCCCAGGGTTTTATGCTGGAGTAGCAATATCCTCAATGCGTTTCTGGATCTGCCAGAGGTCCCTGGGCCGTGGAGGTCCTGGTGGTGTTGCAAACCTGACCTGCTCTGTATGAACCAAACAATGAAGTTTGGAAACAGTGTGTGCTGAAGATAACTCTGCACAGTTTGTATTCACTTCATAGCATTTCTTGCGATTGTAGAAGCAGGCAGCTTTCAACTGTAAATTGAAAAAATGCTTTTTCACAAGCTTGCATTTCTGTTTCCTGATGAAGTAATTTTTAATGTTTCTTTAATGCAGACTTTCATTAAAGATAGAACCAGGGACCAGCACCCCCCACTCTGCTGCTTCCAGAGAAGATTTAGTAGGTAAATGCTTAACAAATGTGAGAAGACTTGAGGTTGTCCTGTGCATTATTTTTGAGTTGTGAACGTGGAAAATATTTGCCTGAGGCCAATAAAGAAGTGTGAAGTTCAAACACTGTATATTTGTAATAAAAAGTCTAAAGGTGATCTGTAAAGAAGGAACTGAGTCATTTTTTTAGGTTCTTGTATGTATTGTGGCACTAACTTGGTAGTGTCAGTTGGGGTGAAGAGCTATTAAATATTCATTCTTTGTTGTGTCCAGACAGAAGGGCCTTCATCTAAACTTTTCCTGGTGGGATGTGCTTCCAAAATCGGACATTCTTCTTGGTCAATGCCAAAAGTGGTTGAAGGCAGGAGTCTGAAAATGTAGAATCAGTGGGATTTGCCAGTGTAGCAAATGCAGCAACCTTTAGGATTAAAAAAATATTTGTAACTGGATGGTCTGTTTGAACTAAGGGTGTTTGATTTTAATCCTGTGCAAAAGATCCAAAGTGCAGGGGTTTAAATTATTGGTGAGTTTTATTGCAGACTGTCCCTTATACTTTGAGTTTAGGAAGTTTTGTGTGACTCTTCCTTGGTTTTCTGAGAAGTAGCCCTGACAGTAATTCCAAAGTGACTCAGGAGTGATGTCTTTTCCCTTCCCAGGCTCTGAAGTCGGAGCATCTCCACAGAGCGGACGGAAGAACGTGGCAGCTGAGGGAGCTTTGCTGCCACCAACACCCCCTTCTCCTCGGAACCTCATACCCCACGGGCACAGGAAATGTCACAGTCTGGGATACAAGTCAGCACTTTGTTTAATATGAAAATCTTCTCGAACTTTGTGATGTCTCATGTTTCCTTACAAAAGCTGTGCTTTTAAAAAGTGGCATGATTTGTTCACGGAACTTCACTTACTGTAAGGGTGGGATCCCAGTCAGAACTAGTGGTATCCCTGTCCAAGACAATTAGTCAAAATAGAAAGACTGAAATTATGATGATAAGCCTAGGCAATGAGTTAACCAAAATGGCTCTTTTGAATGACAAAACTATCACTTTTAACAAATCAGTGCCAGTACAATTCTTTCAAATTCAAACTGAAATAACTGCTTTATTTGTATTTTTATAGGGAGACCTCCTTTGTAGACTTTCATATAACTTTGTGTAGTAATGGCTGCACTAAAGTCTACACCTTTTTCCAGGTGTACTTCTAATTAATATTTTGATCATTGTCGTCACTTACCTTGTGATCTTTCCAAAATGCCAGGTTGTAGCTATCAAGTAATTAATAACTTCTATTGTGTAAACTTACCTTTACTGAGCTAGAATGCAGTTCTACAGTTCAATTATGTGTTATAGGAAGACTTAGGATGTTGAAAGTAATTGTTAATGTACTCTTGAGTTTCTCTTTGTTACGTGAGTAGGGTGAAGTTTTAAACCCAGCAATTCCCGTAGTTTGTGCAGAATTGCTTGTGACTCGGCCATGATTGAGTTTGGCATGAGGAACACCCTACCTGCAATCCCTCAGGGTGTTCCAGCGACTCCTGAAACGCATCCCAGGTAGTGCTGTGACAGCCCTGTCCCTGCCTGTTCGCAGTTTCATACACAAGATGAACACGGCGGAATTTAAAAGCGCGACATTCCCCAACGCGGGCCCCAGGCACCTCCTGGATGACAGCGTCATGGAGCCCCACGTCCCATCCCGAGGCCAGGCCGAGAGCTCCACCCTTTCCAGTGGCATTTCAATAGGTAGGAGCTGAAAACGTTCCCATGCGGTGATGGTGTTCTCCTAGTGAAGGTTTTAGCACGATTGTGCCTGCAGCAGAACTGTTCTGAAATACCGATTGTGTTTTGGGACAATGCTGGGAAATGCAGGTGGAGGAGGGTGGAATAATTTATACACCCTGAACTGGGAAATTATAAAAAAAGGCACTTTTTTTTTTTTCCTCATCCCCTTTAATGATACAACATCTGATACTCCCCTTCCTTGATGGGAGGTGGAAGGAAGTGCAGGGCATGATTTTCTGTTCTTTTTTTTTTTTTTCCCCTGAAATCAATCCAACTCTAAAATGTCTTTTGGTTGGATTTCTATTGAAAATGCCATATTGACTTGACAGTGAGAACTGTAAATTGCTGACAGTTTTAAGAGCATCATTTCCAAATACTTCTAACTTGGGCAGAAGTAAATAGAAATCTAACCTTCAGATAACTTGAAATGTCAGAGTCTACTTAATACTGGTAACTTATTTATCTTCGTATATTTAGGGTGGTATTCTTTTTTGGGAACCTCTGCTTCCTGAGGGTCTTCTGTGACAAGAGTTGCTCTTTTTTCCAGTTGTGCACAGAATCCTTAAAGGGAAGGGAGGGCAGGACAAATGCTTCTTATATCCACCTCTTTGCAACCAGGGCTAGGAAGTGGAACCTCTCTAACAGTCCTTTTTCTCAGATTTCTTAGCTTGATAGAATTCAGTGGTGTTTGGTTTTTATGCTTTTATGGTAATAAAAAAACATTGTGGCATTTTACAGTTCATTGGAGAACTTAATTTTAAAAAAACACTTTTGCATTTTAGCCTTTGTGGAGAGAAACAAGGTCACGGATTTTCAGATTATGCTGTTTTTCTGGAGCTGTACACCTATTTTCTTGAGGAGAAGGCCATATCCTGAGAAAACATTAACTAGTTCATGGGGAAAAAGTCAACTATCTAGAGGCAATGATTTAAATTTAAAAAAAAATTAATAGGTGAATCTGTGGCATTAGACCAAATGTGTGTCACCTTTGTTGAGACGTAGCATTGCCCTTTTCTCAGGGCAGTGTTTTACTTAAGTTTTCTGTCTAAATATCTAAGGAACTCTCTGCAGCTGATCCTTTCTTCCAGGGTGGATTATTTCTTTACCTCCATTAGAGCCTAGCAGGGAAGGTTTGGCAGAGCTGACAGGCAGTTTTTCATGAGGTACAAGTGAGAACCAGCCTCTATCCAGATATTTTAGAGAAAAGGGGGTTTCCCTGCTCCGTCTCATCTCCGAATTTTTCAGTTCTGTTCTCTAGCTCAACCATGACCTTATTGATTCCATGCAGTAGGAACAAAATTGCCACTTTACAAGACTGGTATAAATCACTTGTAAAACAGCAACCCTCGTGCGTTTTTTTGCAAGATCAGCATTTGTGGTTAAAACTTCCTCCCTCCCGTTCTCTTCCACCTCCAACCTCCCCACACTCGGATACTTCTGTTTTAACCCTCTTTTGACAGTCCAGCACGCATTATAACTTTTGCTGCTCTAGGTTTTGAAAGTCTCAATGGCACAAAAGATTGGTGGAGGTGCTAGAAATACGTATGGGGGGAAGAAAGGAAGTTTTGGAGGTTTGCAGTATCTGTGACTGCAGAATTCTTGGAAGTGTAAGTTGCCTGGCATTCTGTGCTGCTGCCTCAGCAGGATTTAAGGAAGTTGATTGAAGCTGCTGAGTTCCTCCATCATGTTTGAAGTAGTCTGTTTACTCAGGACTTGGAAATAGTACAGTCACTGCAGCAGAGAGGAGGTTTATGGTGTTCTACAGCACAACTTCAAAAGATGGTCAGGAAAATGTCTTCTGAATGTGGGCACTGAAAAGAGTGTTATTCCTCACCTTGCCCGTAAACGTGGATTTAAACCTCTTGCTCCAGGAACAGGACTACCTTTTTTACATATAAGCCTATATAGGACTTAACCTTTTGGATAAATGATCCCTCTTCAAAACATGGACAGAGTTTCTGCTATGCCAGCACCTTGAATGTGCCTTTAAAGACGACTGTAATGCTTCTTTAAATCGCTCTGGTGTTTCGAGGGCTCAGAGGTGTTCAGGCGTTTCCAGTCCCTCCACACTGGAGGATCTGATATAATCTGCCTCTGTGTTCCATATCAAAGCAGCAGCAGCAATGTACCATCAGTGTCTGCAGGAACCCCGCAGCGTGTGTTAGTTTAGGCTAAAAACACACCTTCAAGGGATAACGGACTATTCTGGTTGTGTTGTGTTGGGAAGGACTGGCAGAGTCCCTTCTGGGAATGGTGCAGGGAATACCCAACATTTTTACATCCATTAATCTTTCTGATATGAAGGATATGCTAAGTGGGTGTTTTTCATTGCAGTGAACGATTCTTAAAGCAGCAGCAGTGCAGAAAGTGAGCCAGGCAGGGGGTTTGCTGCAAACAGACCAATCTGTGACATGACAGCCACGGTCAGAGGCCTTTATCAGATTCTTTTCTTCATGTCAGGGCTTGGAGGGTGATTGTGTGCTTTTAACTCGTTCTGTAAAAAAACCTGGAACTCAAAAAATATTCAAGATTTGGCCCCTCTTATATTAATGCCTCGTGCTTGGGTCAAAACAGCTCTTGTTCCTGAAGCCATGGGACTGTCATCCACAGCTGAGGGTCGTGTGTTGTGCTGGAGTGAGGGAGATGTCCCTCTGGTTCTGTTGACATCTTCCTGTATAACACAGGTCTTTGTCAGCTGAACAGAAGTGAGAAATCTTTTTCCAGCAATGCCAGGGCTGTCCTCATCAGAAGGAAGAAACACTTGTCCAGTCCTTTATACAGTATCAGATGAGAAATGTCCTCTTGATTTCAGCAATGTATCAAGAGGAAATAGTCTCTTGTAGGTTTTAGATGTTCATAATGTAGGCAGTTGCATTTGAGCTGGTGATAATTGGAGCTCCTTATAATCGCAAAGAGAATTATGATCTCCAAGGTTATGATTCATCTCATTCTTAGGTGGGTGGCTAAAAAGAGGTTATGTGACTTGAGTCCTTAAAACCCCACTGTATTTCTGTTGATTGCAAACAGACTTTTGATAGACAGCACATGAAAACACGGAATAGTGCTGAAAATGTCTGTTTTGTGCAGACAATCCAGAATATCTGCTTTCAGTAAACTAGGACAGGTGCTTTTACTTTGCAGTGAGAGGTTACTGAGAATCCCCACTGCTTGCTATCAGCAGGTCCTGAAGCTGCAAGGTGTCTTTGTTCTGCTAAAAGGAGGATAAATTCAGATGCATTTACTAGATCGTGGTTCCACTCAGAAACAGCACAAACTTCCTTTGTTTCGTAAGATTATTTTTCCTAAGAATATATGGTTTTCTCTTACTTCCCCATTTTCTTACACTTTTAAAGTATTTCTGTGTTGCTTAAGGGTGCTCTGAAGTATCTTTGCAGCAATAAGATTGTTTCATTAATATTCTCAGAAGCTTTGGATTTCCACCATTTCTTGCAGTTCAGCTCTGCTACTTTGCTGAATTTCTTTTCTCGAGCTGAGTTTGTTTACAATGGCTAATTGTTCAGAGAATTCTGTAGTAAAGGAACTGTGTAAAATAGGCCCCTCTTTTCATACATTGCTTCTGTGTGGCTTTTCTCCTCCTACAGCACCAAACCTACAGGATGCCAAGTCGTTTTGCTGAGCAGGTTTTTTTTGTTTGTTTGTTTTAAGAGTGTTGTCTCATGTCTGCTGCTTAAAAACAGGTGTCTCAAGGTGTGAACACAGAAATACTCTGCTGAAACTGAGAATGTCACTTCAGGTGTTTAAAAATTCAAAGGGAGCAGGTATGGATTGTGTTTGTAGCAGTGTAGGAGGCAAATTCCATTCTGACTTTGGAGTGTTTTCTTTCTCGGACTGCTTATTTCTTTTTCCGCTTATTTCTCCTGATCTAGAGTGATATGGATGGAAGCTGTGGAAAAACTAAGGCTCTTGGACATTGGGCTTCGTTTCTGTGTTGAGAATAACTTCAGCTTTTGTTCTAATGCAGTCAGAGGAATTAATGCTGCAGAGCCAAAGGAAGGTGTTTTGAATGTGTGAATTAATGTAAGAAAGTGCCTTTGTAAGAACAATGCAATTCCAAACCTAAACTGGCATGAAATGCATAAGAGAATATCAGCATATTAATGAGTCCCTCTTTCAAATCACCACCTCCAAGTTATTGAATTCTACAAGGGATTATATTGCTCTTTAAATGAAAGTATAGGTGTCGGTGTATGGTGTGTGCATTTCCTTTCAGGGGTTTTGGCAGCCTGTACAGTAGGGGAGACCTCTGCCCAGTGTGTGTTTGATTCCTCACCCTCAAGTTTGCTCTTCAGGTGTTTAGGACTCTTGAGTCATCAGATCAAAAGTTTGGGTAGGGTTTCAGGAGGAAGAAACATGCTGGGGTTTTTAATATATTTCCTTTAAATATCCCTGACTGTGGATATCCTGGTTTGTTGTTGTGAATCACTTCATTAGTGATAAGGTAAATGAGAAAGCTGTATAATATTAGAGGTTAAAAATGCCCATGTAGGTGCCTGGATTTGAGAGGAGGAGCGGGATATATTCTAGGAGGAAAATTCTTCCCCAGTCCTTCTTAGTGTTGGTTGGTCCAAGGCTTGTGCTCTGGAGGTGTTGCAGTTAATGCAGTTGTACAACCCCTGTCTCTGCCCCATCTTTATCCACTGGGTTATTTGCTTTTGTTAGTTTTTCACATCATTATCAGCGATGGCATTAAAGGTTTCTGGTGATTCCCTGGCACGATGCAGCTCGAATCTTCCCACCATCCTTCTTTGCTTAACTGGAGAGCCAAAGCTGAGCTGTTAAACTTTACAGTAGTTAAATGGTGATGAACTCTACATGAGGGGTTTCAGTATGGTCACAAACCCAGCAGAGCAGAACAGAACTTTGAGGGCATGGAGCCCACCTCTGTGGTGTCAGCTGGGTTGTGTTGTGCTACAACCAGCGACGTTCAGGCCTCCTGACCAATTCTTTGTGTTTTGACATCAGAATTTCAAGCACCATCAGGGCAGTCCCCAGCCCTGGAAACACGGTGTGGCTGGAGCCAAGAGGGCGTCGATGACAGATTTTGGGAAGGGGAAAGAATTTCTAGTCTGAATACTTTTTAAACTCTTTGGGGTTGGTTTGTTTATGTTAACACCTGTTTGACTTTGGGGACTGACTCCTGGATGAAGGAAGCCTGTGTTAAGTGTTCAGTATCCCCAGACTCGGGGCAGTGAGGGGATGCCGTGACCGGGGGAACGGGTATGGAGTGGTTTAGGCATTCCCTGTCCCATAACTGGGAACCTCAGGCTGTTTGTGGGGCTGGAACACAGACACTGCACGTGCACATCTACAAATGTGAGCAGGAAATTCACATCTGAACTGATAATCACCACCACAGTTGGCAAAAAAACCCCATTTTGCCAATTGTGCTGTTATTCCTAAACTAGGAAAAAGCCTTCAGGTTAAGGAGTAAAGATAAACACAACCCAGATCTTTTTTTTTTTTTTTTTTTTTTAATCCTGAACAAGAATTATTTTATTTTATTATCAATGAAGAAAACCAGGAAGATAGTGGTCTGTGTTAGTAGCTTCTTACATGAAGCCAAAATGTGTTTAGAACATTAATAGAAAGGACTTACACTATCTAGGATTTGTTATGAAGTTTAACCTGAAGACTTGCTCGAGGTTGTTGGAAAAACTCAAATATTGAGTACATACTTGAGAAGAATTTAAGAAGGTGATATATTTTTAGAGTACTGAATGAATGAAATATTTCCAGTTGAGGTGACAGTCAAATAGTGCACTTAATGTTTAAACAGAACTTGGCTAGACATCTAACTTTTATTGAGTTAAAAACAGTCCCTTTTACTTCTGTTTTGTTTTGGAAGGAAGGTGTAATGTATATTCTTTTGCTTTTCAGGAAAGGGGTTTCTTTTAGCATCAGAACTTTTGATTTGCAAAATACCTCCTGTAGTTTTTTTAGAACGTGGAGATATTCTATCTGGGATGTTTGAGGGATAGTCAAATGCTAAAATTCAGTCTTTTCCAGGTTTTTGTTAAAGCTTTTTACAATCTCTGTAGGCATCAATATAAACATTAAATCAATATCTGTGATGTTTGCCCCAAGTTTCTTACAAATTGAGGCTGCTCTTAGAAGTGCAGTTGGCAATTTCTGTGTAGATTAAACTTTCTAGAAACTTTTTGTTTACAAAACCCCCAAAGTTTTCCACGTTTTCTAACTGTACTGATACTGTAGCAAGGATTGTCACTCTCTGACAGGTGACATTTCAGCTCTGCCTCTGAAATTGCTTTGCATTTTTAGAAAGCAGCACTAGCTTTTAAATCTTTCTGTAGTGTACTTAGTACAGCAATTGAATTACAACTTTATTAGCAAAGCTAATACAGTTGCCATCAATCTGTCACTTCAGGTAGAATTTTAATGTATCAGCCTACTTTAAATATAAAGAATTACTTCATAATACAATCTTATTACTGGGGTTTAATTGTGTGGATTTTTATCACATGGGCCTCAATTAAAGTCATATTAGAGTTGCACTTCTTGTTAGTATAAAGCTAAATCTAAGCAGTAATAAGGAAATAAATAAGATTTTAAGTGTCCCTAATTCCTTCAGTGCTGGATGAATGACATGAGAGGAATTGCTGCACCGTTTTGCAGGACAGATTGCTCCAAGTAGCCACAAAGGAAATCTCAATTCCATGCCAGGAAAACTTCTTTCATAGTTTGAAACCTCCCTTTCTAACTGTGATTCCACCTGCTGAAAGGATTTCAGCACTTGAAAATCTTACTGGAAGAGATTCTACTACCAGGCAGTCAGCTGGGAGGTTTTACCCCAAATATCTCCCCCAAGTTGCCTCTGAATTGTTACCTCTCGTTCTGTCTCTTCCTCCTCAAACCATGTTATTTATTTCTTTGAAGAGACTTTGTGTGTTGTTGTGGTTTTGTTAGGATAAAATAAATCCCTGATTTCCTCACTGTGATGTGGATGTAGAGTTTGCTGGAAATATTAAGTGACAGGGGTTTTTTTTTTCTCCCAGGAAATTATAAACATTGTTCTGGAACTTTGCAAAGGCTTTTACTGGAACAGCAGGTTCCACCTGAATTTGGTTACTTGTTGAATATAATCCTTCACTTCCTGCAGCCCTTTATTCCCAGCTTAGGAGTCAGCAGCTCCACTGCAACATCACTTTTATGTCTCTTAACTTCTTCCACAGTTCAGATCTCTTTTACTGTCATGTTGGTGTGAACCAGGTTAGGACTTCCCTTTGAGGAAAAATTCAGAATAAGCTGGGACCAAGTTATCCACCATCCCTTAGAGATGATGTTGATGTGAGGTTGTTGAGCTGATGTTTGCAAAAGAGGCATCTCAGCTGAGTTGGCAGATAAAGGCACATCTTTTCTCTTGGATTTTGCACAGAGAAAACTTCAGCCCATGCTGAGATTTTCATGGCTCTTGGCTGGAATTGCTCCTGCTGTGTGTGACTCTTTATTGCCCCCATGTTTACTCTGTGTTTACTCAGTGAATATCCAGATTTACTTTGTACGCATTATCCTTCAGGGCACCACTTTTCCCTGCTGATTTTCTGTGTAAAATGACTGGGAATTTGTTCCCATTTTCAGCTGCTGTTTCTCTGGGAGAACTCTTAAGTAAGATGCATTGATTTAGATTTTTTTTTTTTTATTGGTTTGCTTTCTGGTTTGTCTGAAAATAACTGAGTAAATTCCTCCTTTGAACATTGTGCATGGTACAGTGACTGAAGCTCCTGAATTCTGTTAACAGTATTTCTACACTGATACATTTTTACTGACTTTTAACAACATTACAGATAACACCCACCTTGTATCTGTACTTAAATAGTCTTTTTCAGGCTAATGGGATTTACTGTAATTGTAAATTATGGTGTTGTTTGTGGGCATGCCAAGATGGATGCATTAGATAACTGGATTTTGTGATTTTCCTCTACTGTCAGTGTTTTGAAAATAAGATACTTATGGTAGCATTGGATTAGTTTACAAAGCACAGAAGGAAGTAATGCTGTTGTGATCTGATAGAGTAAGTGGAAAATAGCTTTAAAAAGTTGTTTGAGGCTCCTCAAATCCTGTGTTGGAGACTCAGCAATTAATTTGCATTTCAGTGTTATGACCGGATGACTTCATAAGGAATTATTTCAATAAGTGACCTTTCTTTTTAAATGCTTGTTGTGTTAATCAGACAGATCTTCATTTTTCGTGTTCTTTAAGTTTTGTAAATGCCTTTCCCACTTACTAGTGCTCCTTTTCTTCAACTTCTTAATGTGCACTTAGCCCTTGTCCCTTCGAATCTCTGCCTCTGTTCATGTGAAATTTCTGGAGCAAATTGCAAAGTATTTTCCTTGAAGTGTTTTAATGGAGTGTTTTTTTACACATTTAATCTTGAATATTGTGTTGAGAGACATCCTTGAAATGGTTCAATTGTAGATGATGAAATAGTGTCATTCATTCTTATCTTGTTCCAGGTAGCAGTGATGGTTCTGAACTCAGTGAAGAGACATCCTGGCCAGCATTTGAAAGGTAAGAAAAACCTGTGTTTCACTATTCACAGTTGCTGCCTACGATTTCTCACCCAGTCCTCAAAATGAAGCTTTACTTTAGTGATCTAGAGGTCTTTTGTGTGTAAGAATATTAAAAAACTGTAGTAAGTTCACAGGATCTGTTGAAGCAGCAGAGAAGTACCTCCTGCTCATTAGTAGTTAACAGGACTTTGTCCTAATTAGGTGTTTACTGATTGCACACATTCTTTAAGTAGCTGGGCCAGAGAACCCTTAGACCCCACAGCATGTTTATATACATGGATATCTCAGGTGTGTGCTGTTCATGTGACCCATCTGGTTTTCATTTATCCCTTGGTGATCCCTTGGCTCTCTGGTCATTGACATTTTCACCTCCTTTGCCTCTGCTTTTCACTTCACTGTTACTCCCCCTGTGTTACACAGGAAAACACAGAAATGCCCCTTGCTCAGGTCTGCCTTTGTGCTCCAGAATTAACATGTTGCTCCTTATCCAGCACCTCCAAAGGCCCAGGTGATGCTGACAGTGTAAGCCCTTTTCCAGGATGCATTTGAGAATGTGGAAAAAGACCAACAGCTGGAGTTTTAATATAGAAAAAGGTGGAATATTCACCTCCCCACAGCTGAGCAAGATGCACAATAAATTGTGTCTTTTGCTTCTGTGACGATGTTTCAGGTAACCCTGAGTTGCCATGGATGACCTTTCCTACCATGCTTTGCCATTTTTCATAGGAATTTTTGTCAAAGAACTTTATAGTCGGTACCACTGTTACCACAAACCTTATACTCTGCTTGAAATCACTGAAGCAGTTCAGGTCCTGTGCTAATTTTGGAAGAAGTCCTTGAAAATCTCTCTCTGTGCCATAGGTGAACTCTTGGATGTTTCGTGCTGTAAATATGGATACACACGTGAGGAAAGGCCCTTATGATTCCATTAAGGTGATCAGTGGGAACGTTCCACACAAGCATAGACAGAAAACAGGGTCAGAAAGGCAATCTCAGACTTGGGGGCTGCCTCACAGGGCACATAAGAGAACCTTTTGAATGTTTTCCTTTCCTGCCTCCTTATCAAGTGATTTCTCAAAGATAAAAAAGTTACATGGAAAAGCCCTTGGACAAAATGGTGAGCTGAGTGCTTTTAGCATAAGACACTTAGAAATTTTAGTCAGGTTGAAACGTGTGGTAGGACCCTTCAGAACTGTCCTGGGGGCTCCTGAGTCAAAGCAGGGGGTTTTCATCCCTGTCCTAATGAGAACAGGCAGGCCCAGACTCCCCCAGGGAGAGGGTTTTACTCCATGTGAAACATTAAAGTCAGGGAATTCCTCCTCCAAATTCCACTTGCCTTCCATACTTTCCTCTTCCCTGAGAGAGCTCTTTGAGAACACTATGCATGTGTTTCAGGGTGAGTTCTCTCGCCTGATTCCAGGGAAAGGGATGGGGTTCCTTACAGACATTCCAAACACCGGGTGGGAAATTCCTAGAGATATGCAGCAATCTGGAGTCTGTTCCTGAAGCACATTTTGGAATTTAATACACTGACATGCAAGTGTTAAAATGTAAGATCACTAGAGAGGGTGTCTCTCTAATTTTGGTCTGTACAGTGGGTTTCCATTCTTTATAAGACTCTTTAAGTGAGGGAGAGGCATTAGTTATCTGGAATTAACAGCTCTGGCAAAATTGGGATAAATCCAGTGTTATTAATGACTACTTTCTGTGCAGCTTGTGTGTGTGCATCCTCATAGAAATTGAAACCATTTTTTCTGGTAACATGCAAAGTCAGATTTAAAGACAAGTTTTATTAGTGTGGTTCCTTTGCATTGATTTAATCTAACAGCTAAATGCAGACTTTGCTCTCAAGATATATTATTCTTCAGTGCCAATAAAACACTTCAGTATTACGAGTTCTGACAAAGAGAACATCTGCTGAAATCAAAGCCCACGGTATCTACCTCTGCATGCGTTTTTCTGAACGAAATTATCCTCTGTTTCTGATGTGGAAGAAGTGGCTTTGTGATATGCACACCAAAATAGTTCTGTGCTGTTTTAGCAGTCGTGCTGTTTGTGTGGATGAAAGTATATGTAATACATACAATTTATAATGGAATCCAACAGGAACAGGTTGTACCATTCTCTCGGTCCGGGGACAAGAGTGTCACGAAATGGCCATCGAGGCCACATGAAGGCCAGCAGGTACAATCCCACTGCACACAGAGGTGTCCAACCTTCCCTCTGGTGTTGGTGATTTGGTTTGGTTTCATAATTAAGTGGGTGTTTTCTGATGTTATCTTTCTAACTTACATGCCCAAAATAAAAGGTAGAGACCTTTCCCTTCAGACAGAAATACTTTCCTATGCCTTTACTCTGTATCACCATAAGGACTTTTGTTCGTTCTGGTCTGCAAATCCAAATTCTGAACCGTGGGGATCTTTCTGTCGAGCCTTAAAGATGTTTGGCCAGGGTAGCTTTTGCACTGCCTGCCGCTGTGGAGCAGTGCTGGGAGTTCCCATGGGGACAGTGAAGCTGCTTCTGGTGCTAATGGATGGCATCCCACGTGTTTTGTTTGCTGGCAGTTCTGCGTTGAATTTCTTTGCTCCTCTTCACTGAAGTCAGAGATGTGCCTAAAATGAGTAACACATTCAAATTGCCCCCAATTTATTACATACAGTATTATTTGCAAGCTGACAGAGTAACATAACTGATTATTCTGACAAATTAAAGCTGCAAATCCTGCCTCCAGCTCTGTGTCGCTGTAGTTGGGAAAGAGATGGCCATTAACTGTGAAACCTTTGTCACGTTAAGAACCGAGCGTTGTCTCACTGAATAAACTCATGTTCTCACCTGTCAGTGTCCAAAATTGTCTCCATGTCATCATCCTCAGTAGCTGCTGCAGGGAAGAGGTTTGCTAGATTTCCAGCTTACTGTAAACATTGGTGAACATTAGGATGGATGAAACAGCAAATGCTGACTTACTTGGAAATGATTTCTGGGTGCCGTTCAGTCTCTTGGCTTTTCTGGAAAGCTGCTGACCCAGCCCTTCAGCCACACGCTCTGATTGACATTTGCTGAAATGATTCCTCCTGTGACTTTTCACTGATTGAAAATGGTTTTTGAGCCAGTCAGCTTTGTAATTTTAATCAAGCTGAGTTTTCTTTCCACAGTGCTCTACCTGGCATTTGTTTCAGCCCGTTGCTCTCGGGTCCTACGTAGGGCAGGCAATTAGAGCCCCAGTTACATTAAAACCTTAAAGCTGTGATTTGGGTTTCTGCTCTTTATTCCTGCTTCTGCCCACTCTTCCTGCTTTCAGATATTTGAAAGACTGTGCATGTTTGAGCTGTGCTTTGGTTTTGATGTGCTAATGATCCCAGTGTTTCTAACCAAAAACTACTCCAATCTTTCCTGCGAGGGCTGAAGGAGAGGTTTAACATGTACAGCAACTGTACAAATGCACTTCAGACGTTTGCTTTTTAAGATTAATTGTTCTTGTCTTTCAGTTGTGTTTTGAGTTTTAATTTCTTTTTTTTGATTAAGGATTTAATTACCTGCTTGGCTAATTAATTTTTCTGATCACTTTTTTGCTTGCGAGTGTAAATTCCACAACAGCAATTCCTTCTAACAGCCAAAGTTTTTTTCCCACAATGAAGTCCAATAAATAAAAAGTTGACATTTCTAAATTACAATAAAGGTATTTGCATTAGTTTTTGGTAATGGTTGGAAAACTACTTTAGGAGAAATATTTTTTCACACAAATCTTCACATGCTCCTTTCAGCTCCCTAGAATCTGAAGATTTGGCTGTTCATTTGTATCCAGGAGCAGTTACTATTCAAGGTGTTCTCAGGAGGAAGACTTTGTTGAAAGAAGGCAAAAAACCTACAGTAAGATACCTCTTTTAATTAATTTCCCCACCTTCTTCCTCTGCCCAGTTATAAATATAGTAAAATGGTTGTTGGGCAACTAATTCAGGTGCCTGAGGTCTCCTCTGCCTTGCTGGTTAAGATTTAGGGTCACTGCCAGAGTTTTCATTCTTCTGTTTGGTACATTTATTCAGTTTATAAGGCTATAGCCATAATCTAGGGAGTAGGAGAGAAGGAAATGCTACCTAAAATTTTCTGGGATTACTGATCACTTTAAAGGAGAGGGTTGTAGGCAAATCCTAACAGTTTATCAACTGATAATAACCATTAGCATTTGCTCTGCAGATGCTTGATTATGAATTATAAATCAAAATACATATTCATGAGAATCCCTTATGGCAGTACCCAAAATGGAAAAGAAAATGGCCAGGTTTACTCTGACCCATCGAAGTGTTCAGTAGGGGTTGCAGGAAGTCTAGAGTGAGATGCAGACCATTTTTCCCAGATCAGTGAGGAAAGGCACATGTTCTCTCTGCTCTCTGGATTTCTCCTGCATCCACAGGCCTGCACGAATAACAAACAGCAGCTTTGGAAACGTGGCTGATGGCTTGGCTGGGCAGTCAGTGCTGTCATGTTCTTGCAGGATGATGTGATGCCTCCTGTTTTACAGCTCAGTGTTACGAACCGTTTCACTTACCCATTGCACTTGGGTTTTTTCCCCTCTTTTCTCCCCAGGTAGCATCTTGGACGAAATACTGGGTAGCTCTGTGTGGGACCCAACTCTTCTACTACGCTGCAAAATCCCTGAAGGCCACAGAGAGAAAACATGTACGTAAACCAGGCCTGTTCCAGGGTCAGCTGCCAAAATTAAAATGGGATTTCCTGATGTAAACACGGAGAGTAGCTCGGGCCTTGCCTGATTTCTGGTCAGCACCGTCCTGTCTCCCAGTCAATCTGTCACCTCATATGGATGTGCCCCAGGGAAACATCATTTACATTTATGTGCTACACCGAGAACATCTGCTTTGCATCTGCCATGTGTCTCTTTGGGTTTGTGGGTCGGTAAGGAAGGGATCTGTGTCCTTGGGTCTGTCCCTTTTCTAAGGTAGAAATCCTCTTTGGATGCTCTGAGTGTTGCAGCAACTTGAAATCCAACCAAGCAGCAGTGAGGAAAGGCTGGGAGGTCACAGCATGCAACATAAAACATGTACTGATTTCATGTGGTAAAACTGCACTCTTCTCTTTCTCTGTATAATCATGTATTCCATCAGCACAAAACACTTCATCTGTTCAGCAGAGAGCTGAATGATGCTGGCATCCCTTTTACTCGCTGCAGCTTTGTTTGAAAGAAGCTAAAAATACTTTGCTCCTGCGGGGAAGGAGTCAGAGGATTTTCTAGACCCGTCCTGGGGATGTTATGATGTGCATAGTTCCTGTTTAATGCTCCTGGTTCATTGTAATGGTTCTGTTAAGAAGCTGGATAAAATCTGAGTTACTTGAATCTTCTTCTGGGTTCATTCACTACTCAGAATCTTTACTTACTTTACTTGGCCTGTGTTTTAGGTTAATTTATGACAACTGTCACTGAAAAGCATTTGCTTTGCATAAAGCTTATGTCATTTTGCAGGCTGAGATGTGCTTATGGAATCCTTGTGAAAGGGACTTCATTCCCTTTTTTGGTACAAAATACTGCTTTCTTATCCCAACATTTTTATATTCAGAGGGTAGAGATCTGAAGCTTAAGATTTCTGCTTAGCAGGCTCCTGGATAGTTGAAGTTGCTGTACTTTGCTTGGGTGAGATCAAAACTGATCTTGCTTTGATTTGTCCTGCCAGTTGAGACAATAGCAGCCCAGGCTAAAGGGCTGTTAGCCAGGCATTCTGTCTCCTGGCTGTCCTGGGAGAAGTGTTTGGATGTATTTTTTTTCTCTGGTTCCAGTGAAAACTTTATGGAAGGATTCAGCCTCATTAAAAGGAAAGGTAGCTGGAAAGAGCAGACTTGTAAGCTCTTATGAGCAGAAATGCCAAGTGTTAAAGAAAAAGTACCAAGAGAGAACTTGTGCTGGCTTTGTGTCACTCACAGTTAGTTGCTTGTTTTTTCTGGAAACACCGAGAAATGGAAAAATAATTTTCGGTAATGTCAGAACTTTGTATTCCTGTTACTGCTGTGATTCCTTCAGGCTTGGTGCCAAAATTGCATCTTGTTTTCTTTTAAGAGTAGAATGTGCATTTGTAAGTCCCTCTTGTCCACTGTCCACCACAAAACTATGGAGGACTTTACCAGACTTGTATCTGTTCATTCAGAAACTTCTTTTTCACTGTTCTGTGTTAACATTTTAAAACAATCTAAATAACATGCAGGTCTAGAGAACTTGGAAAAAATGCATAGTGAGTAGTTATAGTGTTTGGAAATCAAGTATATTGAATTTTTGTTGTGGTCCATTTGCTTACACGTTTCCTTCAGAATAACGATTTTCATCTCTTAAATGGTCCTGCCCTTTCTCAGACAAAAGTTAATGAAGGAAAAAGGTGAAAAGTCTGGTACCTGATCCTCCTGAGTCCCTCTTCCTGCAAAAGCCTTTACTTTGGCTCGAAATGCAGTCACAGCCATTTGGAGTCCTCTTTGAGAAATTATTTGCTGAACCTCATGAATCGACTTTTAATATTCCCCAAGCCACTGATGTGTTGTGATACCCACAACAGCTAAACTGCTGATGAGCAGAGGCTGGTGCCTGAGAAGCCAAAATCTGCCTCACATCCTGATGTTCTCACGTTTCCCTGTCCAGAGATGATCCAGCAGAGCAGTTAAGGGAGTTTGCAGATAGAGGAGAGGAGGCATTTGAGTCCAGGGTGCTGGCAGGATTTCCCACCAGGAGCCTGCCAGCCTCGTGGCTTGCAAATGCTGAGTGGAGTTTGAGCGAGGCAATTCCCAGGAAAGGGAGGAGCAGGAGTGGCAGTGAAAAGCAGTGACTGCTGGAGCAGCTTAATTTTTGTTTAATAGTTGGCTCTGTGAGGTTGGATTGAACTATCCAGCACAACCTTGGATTTGGCTGATCACAGCTCATGTCTTGCTTTGAGCTTTTTAGGGAGGGCAGTGAGCATTCTTTGTTCTTTTTGTGGGTGCAGAGCCCGTTGTGAATTCTCAGTCTCTGATCCGTTTTCCTGGGTGCAGTCAAGGTGAAAATATTGGAGTAACTATTAGCTGTGGTTTGGGTTGTCTTTTATTTGGACAAATAGTTCCCAGTGAATGCTCGCAGCGAACCTTTGCTTCAGAGGTTATTATAGCACAGAGTATGATCTTTATGGTCAAATTAAGGTGGAAAATAACCTGGTAACTTCTGTAGGAGCCTGAGGTTGAGGGATTGGTAGTTTGTTAAACAGCCTATTAACAGGTGATCAGTGACTTGTCCAGCTGCTCTACCTGTGCTGTACTTTGAGCCTGACTATCCATGGCATAGATTCCCATCTGTTTCACTGCAGGGTTATTGTGCAAAGCCTCACCTTTTGTTCCGTGGTTGCAGTTTCAGAAAGAAAGTTAATCCGGAGAGAATGAACTGCAGATGGTCAATCATCTGTAGATAGCTGGAGCATGAGTATATCCTCCAGATACTATCCAGTGATATTCCTAAGAGGTTTGCTCTGCAAAATAAGGAGATTCAAGGTTAGACCTAGGTTTGGGGTGTTTTTTTTACTGTCTGCTTGGAATCAGGCTTCTTTTTCAAAGATTGATACACTGGAGATTTACCTCAGCAAAATATTCCAAGCATCTTCTGGAGCCATTTAAACAACTGTCTTCTCTGCTTCCTTTCTCAAGGCCTCTGTGACATGGAAAGGATCTCTGGCAACAAAAGAGTCAGTCTGCTATATAAAGTTTCCTGGCTGGAGCTCCGGTGGTGAACGTGTCTTGATTACAGGCGTGCTTGTGACCATTCTGCTGCTGCAATTGCTCCAGGCAGCTCAGGCTGAGCGCCTGGAATGGGCCAACAGTCAAAGCTCTTCCAGGCTTAGAATAGCCAACCTCTTTGGAAAATTACATCATTAAAATCCCTGTGTAATTCAGCAAAAAGGGCAAGAAATCCCCTCCCTGTAGGACGTGGGCAAGCCAGCTCTTCTTCTCATGCCTGTGGTCAAACACCAAGGAGTGAATCCAGTGCTGTGTGTGTTCCAGATGTGAATCTGGTTGAGAGGAAGAGATGCTGTAATACCTGCGTGTGACAAACTTTCTTGTGCTGTGTCTCCTAGGAAAGGCTACTACGTATAATGAGCCTTGATTTTTAACTAGTGAACAGCTCTCAGTTATTACTGCAGTAATGGAGAACTGTGTATAATCAGCATGTTTATAATGAGCACAGCACAATCTGTGTACAGTTTTAAGGTTTTGTCTCATATGCTGAAATGGTACCCACGAAGAAGCCTCCGGGACAGAACTGGAGCACTCGTGCACCTTTAGCAAAGGGCAGCCACTGGAACTTAGTCTTAAAATGAGCATTCACCCTGAAAAGTGTGAATACACCCTTAAAATAACTGGTGAAAGTGCTTGGACTGGAGAATCTTGCCGGTTGCTGTGATGACATAGCGTGCAGGAGAGATTTTTCCGTGTTTGTAGGTACTTGGAAAGGAAACGGAGACTTTCGGAGGCCTCACCCTTGAGCACGAACCTTTGTTTGTTCCAAGCCTTCCATTGCATGTTATAATCAGAATTAGATCCATTTATTAGCAGTCTAGAAAATGTGGTAGTTGTAGCTCAGGCAGTCTCACTGAAACACCCCGAAGAAGATTTCTGTCCTTTTAAGAAGGGTGTTTGGCCACGGAGAAAATGATCTGAATGTTAGAAAGCTGTAAAATCTCAACGGGAGATGTGCAGGAGGAGATCTGTAGGTGCTAAAAGGTTGGAATGAAAAGCCTGTTCACAGATTAATTCAGTTTTTGATTCAGAGATTTATGTCTAAATGCCTTTGAGCTCAGAACAACAGCAACAACCCTCAGTCGTGAAGTTGCCTGGTGCCAGAGCTGTGCAGTTTTCCATGTGTGTAATAAGAGTCATTCCAGTGGCCTACATTACAAAAAAGCAAATAAGAACCAGGAACATTAATTTACAATGAAGCTTTCATTCCCTCCATGTTAACAAAGCAGGCTTGCTGTTAGCAAGGCTCTGTGCATCAGTGGAGAATGAGCTGCCCTGGGGGACTGTGTAAACACAGAACTCAGATCCAGCCGTGCCCGGGGATGGGGAGCTGACGTGTTACAAGTGATGACGGACTGATGCTGGCGGGAAACACTCTCCTTGTGCGGAGCTGTTTGCTTTTTGGAGAAGCACCATGATTAACTAATTGTTTTGAGTGAAATGAAATGAAATGAGAAAGCAGGGAGCTGCAGCAGTTTGGAGCTGCATGGCAGTGCCACATCTTGGATACCTGTTGGGATGTAGAACTAAGATAGGAAAGCCCAGATGTGCTGTTTTCATGAAACTCTAGGAAGGAGTGCCATTCAAAAGGTTCCTTGTTGATCTGTAGCCTATTAAAACTGCTTTGTGACTCAGATTTCCATCTCTGAAAAGGACTTAGTAATGCTTTAGGACTACTTAGAAGTTTGTAATTTGCAGGTCCCTTTAAAGTGTAGGCTGTGTCATCTTTTTTTCTTGAGGCAATGTCATCAGCAGGCCCAGAGCAAGTTCTGAATATACACTTTTTTTAAGAAGTCATGAGTTACATCCTTCTTTTATTCCATTTCCTTGTCTTTATTCCCTCTCTCAGATAAAATACTGTAATGTTTTTCATTACAGACTAACATTACTTACTGACTCTTCAAAGAAATTGTAGTTTCTGTTTGGAAAGGAGTTATGTTATCCAGCCCTCACAGTAATGAAACGTTGTCTGATAGAGCTTTATAATTTACTTCCTCCTCTTCTGAGGCGTGTCCACCCCCCAAAGACTGTGAGTTACTTAACTCTAGTATACATATATAGAGACACTGGACTCTTAAACTATTTTGAACTTGGTTAAAATGCTTTTTCTTTCAAGTACCAGCCTGACATTTGTTCTCTTTTCAAGTTAGGATGGATTTTAAACTGAGGTTTAAAATGCAGCTGGTTTTGCAAGTGCCAGACAGATAAACTTATGTGGACAGTGGCTTCAAACTGACAGAGGGCAGCTCTAGGTTGGATATTAGGAAGGAATTCTTCCCTGTGAGGGTGGTGGGGCCCTGGCAGAGGTTGCCCAGAGAAGCTGTGGCTGCCCCATCCCTGGAAATGTCCAAGGCCAGGTTGGAAGCACCCTGGGCTGGTGGAAGGTGTCCCTGCCCATGGCAGGGGGTGGAACTGGATGGTCTTTAAGGTTCCTTCCAACCCACACCACTCTGGGATTCTGTGATGATTCTGTGACATTCCAGGTCTTCAGTTAATCTGTGGCACAGGTCAGAATAACTGACATTGGACTTGCAACGGAACTTTTTATTTATTTTTATTTATAAAGTTATTGTATTTTCATGCAGAGAATATTCTTACCCTCAAACTTATTAGCAGTAATGCTTTCTTTGGTTGAACCAGAGTTCTATTTTTGTAATATTAAAGCAATATTTCTAAAACGAAGCAGAAGTAACCTGATGCATCAGCCATGTGGCATTAGAATGAAGAATAAAAGTATTTCAGAACTACAGGTTAGTTCTAATGGCTTAAAGCTGAAACAGTCTCAAGGATGGTTTATGATTTCTAATAATATATTTAAGAGAGATCAAAATTACTGTGCTAATAAAGAGGTTGGAATGGGAATCCACAAGGCAGGATAAGGACAAGGATAGAGCAGAGTTGGATCTTCTGTGCAAAGGAGTGAGGTAAAGCACTGCAGAGGGTGGGAGTGCTGGGATTGATGGGAAAAGTCTCTGCTGGACCCTTGAATGAGGAAGAGGAGACCTGGCAGCTAAAGACAGAGAGAATGGAATGAATTCAGGACTGGGGAGTGGGTGGGACTGCCTGAGCAGCTACTGAGAGGTAAACAAGGAGACCAGGGAGAAGGAAGCTTGTGGTTTGGAAATAAATTGGATTTAATGGGTGAGAAGAGCTTGGAACTCAGAAAACCTGAGAAGCAGAAAATAATACTGACCAGGTGAATGAGAAACAGTGGGAGCTGTCAAGAGAGGGGCTAGTGTAGCAGAGACAGGTATTGTTATCTGTCAGTGTGTGAGTAACATCTCGAAGAGGGGAGCCCCAGCATTTTGAACATCTTGTTGATAAATGAGCCCATGGTGTTCTGGGCACTGCTTTATTCAATCTGCATCTTCATTTGATCCATTTTCTTCATCATGTCGTAATATGTAATTACTCAGTTGTGTTATCTTGTCCCCAGGACTTATGTTATGTGTGTAATTACAGACTATTACGATGTGTTAATTTTGAATAGTTGTGGAACAGACAAGTTCAATTCTTCTGTTTGTTAACAGTGGAGGGATTAGCTTTGCATTTATTAATACCCTTCTTTTGAACTATGTTGTACATTCAAATGTGCAGTAATGTGGTGAGGAATTGTCTCCATGCAGTGCAGTTTGGACAAGTGTTTGCAGATTGTGATATTCCCTTTAATTTGTTTTGAATATCATTAATGGTGATAAGTTCTGTTGTCACTAACTTCACGTGAGTTTTGTTAATTAACTGTATGAAGTGCTGTGCTTCATTTGAAGTTCCTCAGTCTCTGACAGTGGCACTGAGAGGAACTGGCTGAAGCCTCTTGGTTTAATCCAGTTTTACACCTCTGGCTGTATTTCCAGTTCAAATCCACACCCAGCAAGAACGTGTCGGTGGTGGGCTGGATGGTGATGATGGCAGATGACCCTGAGCACCCAGATCTCTTCTTATTGACTGACTCTGAGAAGGGTAAGAGTGCCATTTGATTCCCAGAATAAGCATTTGCTTGGCTGAGCTCGTTTATAAGCAACTAAATGAGCAAGTGAAAGGTGACATCCTGTTACATCCCTGCAATTTCAGCTGCTCTCCAACGTGTCCTCTTTGCCTTTAGGAAGCTGTGGGAACAAGAATCTGTGGAGAATCCTTAGAGTCTTCATTAAGTTCTGAAAACCCTCCAATCCCTTAACAACCCCAGTTGTGATTTTTATTGGAAGTATTCCTCTGCATTCTTCCAAACTATATTTAGAGCACTGAGGCATTTTCACATGTGTGAAAATGGAACTAACAATAAAAAGAGGGATTCAGCTTATACCAGCTGCTTGACCAGTCCCTTCTCCTCTCAAATACAAACCAAAAATCAAACCATCTGTTCAAATATAGTGCCGTTACCAGGAAAAAAAAGCCCTAAGAGCTCTTGGCTGTTTTGTGGATTCCCAGCACTCCAGCACAGCACCCTGGTTTCAGCTTAAACTCAGAAGAAAATGTTACTTTTCCATAGCACTGTGCAGAAAGAGCATCGTCAGAAGTCCTGATAAAGGAGCTTAAAGTTATTTATTGCTTTGTCTGCTTCGAGTCTTAGTATGTTTCATTTCCAAACATCCACTTTAGCGCCACGGATACGAGGTGTAAATTCTGAATGCTTGGCAGCTTGAACTCTGCAACAGCAACCTGAAAAGTTTGTGTAACACGTGACCTTGATGAACCTGAGCAAGCACTTGGTAACAGCAGGCACTGAAAACGCTGCTCTGAAATGTATCAGTATGTTCAGGAACAATATTCCAACATTTTCAAGTGTAGCCCTCCAGGGAGTGTTTCGGTGATATCTTGCACTTCATTAAAAAATTACAGTATTGTAAACAAATTGCAATAGTGGCAATGAGCACAAACATTTTTGTGTGGTTCTGAGGAATGTTTTGTTCTTTCCTAGTTGATACTGGCATGAGTTGAAATCTAGAATGTTGGAAAGGAAGGCAGGAAGCTGCAACCTCTCCTCACCAGGTCAAACAATTGCACCTATTCCAAAGTGTAAAGTTATATGAACCTTCTGTTATTAAATCTTCTCATAATATCTTAACTTCGAGGTATTTGAATAAGGGTAGGATTTAAGTGCATAGCACTGTTTGTGTATCTTCATCAGGTTTTTTTTTTTTTTCTCTTTCTCACTTAGGAAATTCGTATAAATTTCAAGCTGGGAACAGAATGAATGCAATGCTCTGGTTCAAACACCTGAGTGCTGCCTGCCAAAGCAACAGACAACAGGTGAGAGCGAGGTGCTGGGGTGGAATGAGCTTTTAAGAGCTCAGAACTGATGGATTTTCGAGCTGCCCAAGCAGTCACGGAGGGCTTTGTGTGAGGAGCGACGGACCCTGAGCTTGCAATTGTCCCTCTGCAAACTCTGTGGCAGTGAAGGAAGATTTGGGGCTATCTTGAGGCTCGTTTAAAGCAATTGGGGAAATGGAAGGAGTGCTCTAAAATACCTGTCCAAGTGGCAGTGGTTTTGTGCTGCCCATTTGAAAGAGGCTGTTTGTACAGTTACATAAGAGCTGTAAAATGAAGAATTCAATATCAATTCCTGGTAACTCTCCTCTAGTGACGTTATTTTCAGGTCACGGACGTGCCTATTTTCTGTTGGTTGTTATGTATTCCTAAAATGTATAAACAGCAGTTTAGTCCTTGGTACATTTTGCAGTCTTTGATAGCAAAGGTAGCATTTTCCATGAATCAAAAAGGAAGACAGACTGCTCCAACCCCTATTAAATGCTGTTCCCATATAAATTCTTATTGACCCTTTTCATCAGCAAAATCCTTTTTAAGTTACTTTGTCTCCCTGAACTCTCCTTTTTTCCGTTGCACATTTGTTTATGGAGTTCCCAGAGCAGAAACACCACTGAATTTCAAGGGGAACCAAAAAGACCTTCCCGCATCCTTCAGTGCTTTCTTGTTCAGTTCTGCTTGTGAGAGAGATCTGAAGGAGCAAGGAGGGTTGCAGAAGCTCCTGTGAAGGTATTTGAGACAGTGCAGAGGAGAGGAAATGGTGTTCCTGTGGCTGGAGAATGTGGGGATAGTGCAAATAGTAGCAAAGTGATGCAAACAAGTGGTGACTTCCAGGCAAGCCTGAAAGCTGCCCCCTGAAGACAGGGTGTTACTCAGTAAGGTTTAACAATACTGTTTAATGCTGTTAGCAGTGTGGCTTCTTTAGAAAAATTGGATGTTTAAATGTGTTTTCAATAGAATATAAACACCTACCCAGCTGAATAATACTGGGAACTATTTTAACAGGGACTATATTTGATTTTAACGGTGAAACTTTAGCCCAGTTGAGCATCCTACAGGTAAATGATAAATCGTGGAATCACAGAATATGCAGAGCTGGAAGGGACCCGTCAGGACCAGATGCAAAGCAAGAAGTGCTTGTTTCAAATCTGACCCAGATGGGTATTTATTGACTGTCATCAGGAATGTGCTGGCTCTTTAATAATAACCTGAGTAAACAAGAGATGCTGCTGTCAGGCAAGTTCCTGATGGGTGGGGTGGAAATGGGACTATAAACTAATGTATTGCAAACTAGCTTTAATCTTCATGAAAGGGAGTGATATCTGCAGCAGACAATTCAGGTTTCTTATGGGAAAAACTCAGGCAAGTGTTTATGCCTCGTTTTTTTTTAAATTAATCTCAAAAATACTAGAGGGCCTACATCAATCGCTGCTCAGTGTGCCCAGAACTCTCTAGCTGGGGCTTGTGTAGTTCGGTGCTGAGATTTGTCATGTTACGGTTCTTTTGGTGACAAATCTCTAAGTGTCGTTGAAGTTAATAAGTTCTGTGGCCATATAATAAAATTGTAGCCCCTGAAACAGTTTTTTTTTTTTGGTTATACCTGGGTTTTTCTACAGTTCTAGGTATGTTTTGATAGCTTCATTCCTCCTTCCCTCTTTTGGAGGCAGAACAATGTGCATTTGAACAGGTGCCTAAGCTGTGAAACAGTTGAATGTAAGTAGCTGATACTTGGAAGTAAATTCTTCTATCATTTCAATTTTTGTTTTCAGGTTCCTGCCAACTTGATGACCTTTGAATAACAGGCTAATTCCAAACAAACAAACAAAACAAAAAAGACCAATTCGAACCACCTCACAACTGAGAAGGAGGTCCTGATGAAAAACGTGCCAGCTGTATCTGTGCCAGAACAGAGCCTGACCATTCGATCTCTGAACTCTGGAGCCCTGAACAAAACCACTCGTGGCTGGGGGGCAGAGTCCCCCAGATGAAAAATGGAGTTGCAACATGAATTGCCATGGACCACGCTTCGTTATGTTCTCTGAACTGACCTGTGGAAACCACTGCCTTAAAGAGTGAAAGGAAAACCAACACGAAACACCAAATAGTGTGTGTGAAACTTCTGGCGGTGCTGTGCTTGAGTTCAGTAGATTGTAGCTAGTTTGAGTTTCTTTTAACTTTATACTAATTTTGAAAATAACTCACCTTTTTAGGCATTCTTAAGAAAACAGGTAAACTGGTATTTAAGAGCTGTGTCTAAAGCTGTGTACGAACCGGGTCAGAGAGGTACTACGTGTCCTAGAGATGCTGTTTAGACTCTACCAGGAGTTGTGGATGGGAGCTTGTCCCAGGCACTCTCAGCCTGGAGCAGTGTTATTTCTCTCAGACCTACAGGTATAAAGTTTGAAACAGCAGTGAGTTTGCAAACCTTGGTCCTGCACAGGAGCCCGACAGCAGCACTTACACACCGAATACTGCTTTGGTACGTCAGGACCTCATTCCTGGTTAAAAACACACGGTTTGGGGTGGTCAGGGGGGGTGTGTAACACACAAAACTGAAAGCGTTGTTGGGGCAGAGCTGAGTGTTTTCTTCCCATTTGTTTCTACACCTGTGGCTCTCCCACAGGCACCAGTTGAGCGACAAAACACCAACACCCGGGTACAGCTCACCGAGACGCTTTCCTTCTCTGGGTGTCTGCTAATGACCAGTTAGGGACCACTGTTAGTGTGTGGTGTTTCATAATATCACTTAAGATCGACATTTTAAAGAAGATAGAGGCACAACTTCAAAGCTTTCACATTCTCATTTGGCAATAATTGATTTTAGTATCTGTCTTGGTCGAAGTAGTTGACGTCGTGTGGTGTTGATAACATGGCCTAAAGCAGACCTTACGTGCAGAAGCTCTTTTAATCTTCAGGCAAATAACTAATTTATTAGAAGGTAGGATAACCTAAGGAGAGAAAAGGTGTGGGACCGTTCTATCCTTGGCAGGAATCATTCTTGGTCACTGGAATTACTCACAGAGAAAAACATTACGATTGTAAAAAGGGAGCTGTTGCTTTATGTGTGTGTTTGATGCTTAAGATTTTGATTCTTGCTTTCTTGGGGTTTCCTTGACGTCAGCTAGCTTCCTGGATGATTAGTCTTTCTTTAATCTCCAAAAATTATGATCATTGTAAAGCAAGGAAATGTTGTCCCAAGATACGACTCCGATATCAGAACTTTGAAGTTTGTGAAAAACTAGTAACTGTTCCATTGACATTGTGGTTTAGTGGCCGTAAATACGCTTGCAGATTCCACCATGAATTCTCCTTTTTAAAAAAGAAACAAGCTACCTACCAGTCTGTTTCAGAGTTCTCTGATTATCTAATAAAGGTTTCTACTGGTAGTTGTTATTTTGGAAATGTATAGTTTGTTTATTGCATCTGAGTAGAAGCCTATAAATTCACTTTTGGGCTGGCTTGTTTTGTTGTTTTTTTTTTTTTTTTCTCCAGAGTCAAATTAATCTCGTTATAGAAATGATTAATTTCTGATTTCTGGCGGGCAAAAAAGAAGGATAATCCAGTCTCACAGAAAAAACAAAACAGCAAACCAAACATACAAACCCCAACCACTTGGTGATGTAAAGGGTAACAGGCTGGTTTATGTTTCCAGGAATTGTTCTGAATTGGCTCTTGGTAGAAAGAAAACAGTAGAAAGATGCTTCTGTCGGAATTACACCACAAACACTCGGAGAATTTGAGACCCTTTGCAGTTTTCTTGTTGCTGTTTGTGATTTTTTTTTTCTTTATGGGCATTGAATAGCCTATTCTGACCCTGAAGTCGTGAACTTTGGGAAGAGGTTGCTTGTGCTGAATCCCTCTGCAATTCACACATCTCCCAGCTTTACCCATGTTGGGTGTGCAGTAAGGACAACATCTTCATAGCCAGCAGTGTTATTTAGTAGACTTTGCACAACTTTAGTTTTGGGGTTTATTTTTCCTGTTTAAAGAATTACTTAGTGTGTTTTTTTTCTCAACAACTGAGTGGATTTTTGTTGTTGTTTTTTTTTTTAATAAGGTGCGTCCTTTTTTTTTAAGCGTTGCGGGCCATAAGCCTGTGGATTCTGAATTTTTAAATAAGCTATTCTGGGCTCATTGCAGCATAACTGTATCTGTTCTTTTTGTTAGTGAGAGGAAACATGCACCGGGGAGCCACAGCCTGACAGCACACAGCTTTGCTAAGGACAGAGCCAGGTCAGGACGTGTCATTTATTACTGGGGGTTTTTTTTGTGTTTTTCCAGCTGTTTTGAGTTAGGGTTTATGGTAGGAGGAGGGTGGGGAAAGCAGTTCACAAATCATCCTTTAATGAATTGTTGCTGTTCCCAGTTTACACTGTCCTTAGGCCTCCTGCTCTTCCTTGCTTTCCACCCTCCAACACGGGAGGTTCATGGGAGAGATGGAATATTGTGGGAGGAGTTCCTTAAAACGCGTGGCCATAATAACTGGGGCGAGTAATGACAACACAGAAAGCATTTTTGGCACTTGTTACAATGAGTAGTTCACTACTTTCCCGTTGTTGCCCTACAGGGCAACACAGAAACGTTGTCACGTTATGTGTTTGAAGATAAATGGTGCTCAGAAAGAGGGGGAGGGTTTGTTCCCTGAGGGAAAGCTGCCTCAGCTCAGCTTTGGAAAGACACAGAACAAGTCATAGGCACTGTAAAGAACGTAGTAATGCTCTTTTCTTTTCTTTTTTTTTTTTTTTTTTAATAAAAGAGGGAGTTAAAAAAATTAAATAGCTGAAACTAGTGCTGAGAAAACAAGGACAGCAACGAGCTCATGGTGTTCAGGTAAGACTGTCATCCAGACTGCTTCAGACAGTTGGCAGGTTTACTTTGATTTTTTATTTTCAAAGTGTGGCTCTAGTTCTTTATCTTGTTAATAACTGCTGAAACACTTCAGCTGATATTTGTCACTGTTATTTTTTTCTGAATGTTTTGATTTTGAAACTAAAGATGCCCATTGCAATTCCTTGTTTTGGTGGCATTTGAGCAAAAAATTATTCAGTGTAGATCTTCCAGTGAGACTTCACATGTAAATGTGAATCATCTGACAGCCACCCAGTTTTTTTAGCTAAACTGAAAGTTTTGGGAAAGATTGAAAACCAGGGAATGTCTGGTTTATGGAGCTGATGCAGTGCATTAGAAACACATAACATTGCACTGGTGGTTGAATACTCACTGCTAACTCTTATTTAATCTGTGCTACTTTTGGCTGGGTTTTTCAAACCTGACTTCTATCCCAGTGTTCTTAGAAAGCAAATAAGGAGATTTATTTTGTTAAAAATCCTGATAGTTTGGATAAACACAGCTCATCCCAGACACGTATTTCATTTTGCAGATGTTTCATGCCAGAGGAGTGTTATTCAAGCTGTTATGATTCATTAAGTATTTAGGTGCAAGTTATAGGCATTAAAACTACAAATACTAAATGAATGCACATAAATACTTAATGAACCAGCTTTAGCACCCAGCTTTAAAATTGTGTTTAGGGAAGTGTGCCCATTTGAAAACATCCTGGGAGCAGAAGAAGGAATTAAAAACCACAGCAGGGTTTTATTAGTTGTCTGTTGCTCACTGGAAGTGAATTCATCTAATCTAATCTTGCAACATCAGCCTCCTCTGTTTGAATTCATACATTTCCAACAATAGTCCTCCTCTGTTAGAATCAGACATAACACATGTTAACAGCAGATCCTTTCCCTCCCAGCAGAAGCAGTTGCAGGTTTCTGTGCTGCTGAGGCACGTGAGAAGTTGAGGTCCCTTGTGACGAAAGGCGAGTTTGATCTTGTGGTTTTGGATAACTGCAGTAAATCTTATCCAAATCAAGATAAGGTAAATCATGGGACGTTGTTTCTTCTGGCTCTGTCAGTGGCATTTTTCTTGATTTTATTTGTCCCTTTTTTTTTTGATATTCTAACTCACCAGCATTGGTAGTTCCAATATTTTTTCCATGGCCAGCTCTGTGTGCTGCAGCATCAGGACCCCAGGAGTGGTACTAAATCACATCAGTGAATTGCCTGTTCTCCTTGCAAAGACAAGCTGTGAAAGTTTTGTTACTCTTTTTAAATGTTACCCTTTTTCTTTGGCTTTTCTCTAAAAGCGTCTTGGGCGTGAGGTGGTTTGGCTCAGGAAAGTTGTCACTGAAAGGATCTGTACGAGTGGGCGTGGAATTTGTACTTTAAAACCCATCCTTCTGATTTGTGGTGCATCAGGGGGGGCGAGTGCTTGGATTTGAGGAGGACTTTTCGTCAGTGCCTTATTATTATCTTGGAGACCAATTCCTTTATTTCCGTGCTGAGAGTCCCACCAGGGCAGACCTTGCAGGCTGTGTCCTCCAAGGGGTGACATTCCTGGCAGTCGTTGCATTTCTGCAGCAGACAGTTGTTCAGACAGTTGTTTTGGTCGGTGTAAAATAGCTTTGCTTGAGTTTCTTTACTATTGTTTTTGTTTTTTTTTCCCTGTGTGTGTATAGCCTCTTTTTAGGAAAAATGCAGAGGTATTTGGTAGCTTGGGCTCGTTCAGCTTTTGTCAGAAGTAGCTCAGACCTCTTAAGAATTAATTTATTTTTATTTTGGTGTGTCTCTGAGTAGATTTAGTAGGGGGGAAAATTGAAAAGAGTAGTCCAGGTCATGGTCTAGACCACACGAGCTGAAGAGCTCACGCTATTAAAAAGGAGCTTTCTTTTCTCTCTCCCGTTTGGATGTAAACACTGAAGAACATTCTTATGAGAAGATTTATTCCTTACAGGCTTTTTGCTAATGTGAAATAAACACCAC